GAAAGGGGTAGGGAAACAAACCTGCATAACCGTATTAGGAAGGAAAAGGAAACAAGATAAGGAAAGAATCTCGACGGATGCATAGAAGCTGATAGAGGACTGAAAGACGGTGAAGCAGAAGATGAAACAGTGCAAGGATGAACAACGAAAGGAAGAACTAAGTACAACCTATAAAACACTACGCTGAACAAAGAAGTGAAGAATAGAGTGCGGAAAGATAAAAGACGCTTCCACGACACATTGGCAAGCGAAGCAGAACAGGCTACAGGTAAGAGAGACCTGACGACATTGTATCAAATAACCAGGTTGCTATCTGGAAAGAGATCAACACAGATGAAACCAATGGAAGATAGTGAAGGAAACCTAGTTACCAAAGAGGGGCAGCAGAGGAAACGTTGGGCAGGCCACTTCAAAAAATCTTGATTCCACCACCACATGCAACTCGTTCAGAAAAGCACCCAGCGACGGCAGAACAACCAGTGAACACAGGCCATTCGACAAAAGCAGAAGTCCTGAATGCCATAAAACTGCTGAGATCCGGGAAAGCAGCAGGACCACATGGAATCCCGCCAGAAGCACTGAGAACAGACGCAGAGACAACAGCAGACATGCTCACACCACACCACTATTGCAGAAGGTCTGGAAGGAAGGAAAGGCACCTGCCTATTGATTGGAAGAAGGGCTACCTTGTCAAACTGCCGAAGAAGGGAGACCTAAGTGTTTGCAAGAACTGGCGAGAAATCATGTTCCTGTCCACCCTAAGCAAAATAATAAGCCGCATCATTCTGGAGAGACTAAAGGATGCACTGGATTCAAAACTACGACAGGAACAGGCTGGCTGGTTGGACTCAGGAAGTACAAATCGTGTGCGGACCAAATTGCAACGCTACACTGCGCATCATCATACAACAGAGTATAGAATGGCAGTCAACTCTCTACCTCAACTTCATCGACTTCGAGAATGCCTTTGACAGCGTAGACTGAGAAGTAATTTGGCAACCGCGTCAACGCTACGGAACACCACAAACCTTTGCCAACCTCATTCAACAACTATATGAAGATGCCACATGCCAAGTGATTCACAATGGGAAGCTCAGTGATGCCTTTGAAGTGAAGACAGGAGTGAGGCAAGGCTGTCTACTATCACCCATGATCTTTCCGATTGTGGTAGACTGGATCATGCAGGAAGCAGTGAGGAGAGAGAAGAAGGGGATACGCTGGCATGGGGAGAAGATTCTAGAAGATCTGTATTTCGCCGATGACTTGTGTCTGATGTCGCACAAACTCGAAGATCTACAGGCGAAAACTAACAAGTTGACGGAAGAGGCAAGGCGGAGAAAACGGGACTTAAAGTGAATATAAAGAAGACGGAGGTGGTGATGATACCCAACCAACAATAGCATCAACAACAAGCGCCAGTCACTATGAACGGGAGAAACCCAAAGGAAGTAGTCTCTTTCACCTACCCACCTAGGCAGGATCGTTTCAACTACAGGCGGCGGTACAGACGAGGATGTCAAAATCAGGATGGGAAAGACAGCAAGACGGGCTTTTATTAACCTGGAACCAGTGTGGAGATCTTCTGCACTCAGCACAAGGCGTGAACAAGACCCGGATTTTCAACACCAACGTGAAGTCAGTGCTGCTGTATGGTTCGGAAACTTGGCGCGTCACGAAAAGCATTTCCAACAGACTACGGATATTCATCAACAACTGGCTACACTGCCTCGGTACTGAAGGTCAGATGGCCAGAATAATGTGAATAAGCAACAAGGAACTCTGACTGTCTGTCAACGAACCAACCAAGAATGTATCACTCAACAAATCTGCAGAAGGGAGTGGAGATGGGTTGGGCATACACTGAGAAGACCACTCGAGGACATCACGCCTCAGGCCAGGCACTCGAGTGGGGCGCAGATGGGAAACGGTGAGTTGGGCGTCGGAGGTGAGGGTGACATGGAGGAGATGGTGTGAGGAAGAAATGAAAGGTTGTGGGCAGTTGTGGAGCGAGGTGCAAAAGACTGCAGAGAAGAGAGTGTAATGGAGGCGTGCTACTGAAGCCCTATGTTCCACTAGGAACCCAAAGGAAGTGTAATAATAATAATAGCGACTGGGGTAGAAGTTTGCTCACCTGATGACTTGTCTGTATACTATCTTCACAGTGGAACACGATGCCAGAGGTATGTGTATTCAATTGAAAGAGCCATATGTCAAATCGTAGCCTATATTTTATTTACACACATAATAATTGTATCCCTATGGCAAAGCAGTGGAGTAGGGATGAACTTTCAGCATTGGATTTTTAAGGATAAGAGATGTTCAAGCCTGTATCCATACCCTGAATGAAGCTTTTCAAATTGCGAGCAACGGGATTCCTCAAGCTTATAGTTATCCGAAATGATAGTAGTTTTAAAAGAAATGAAACGTGATACACTTTACGAAAGGTTTTAGTGAAATCGAAGTAAAGAGAGACAATTACTTTCCTATGTTTCGTTTGGGTATTGTATTATCATAGTATTCCAAGTGGCTGGCTGTGGAGGCATTTTAAAATAGGAACGTATTTTAGAAGAACTGGTCATTTTGTGCCAATGATGAAAGATATTACCCTCGTGAAAAAAAAGTAACTCGTTTGATGAGATGACATTTTCAGGCTAAGCCCTGACTAAACCCAATGTATGATGTCCCTTGCTTTCCATGATTTTAGAAGGGTACTGAATTTCAAAGAGAGATATGAAATTTCTGATAACAGTGATACAAGTTCGTGTTCCCTTTCTGAATGAAATCCGTCGGCATTCCTTCTTTTACTCCTCATCATGCCAAATACATTTCTCAAAGTACATTAAGAAAAATTGTAAAAAGAGAAAAATTACCTTATCAATCTGCTAACTTTTCTCCATTCACTGACATGGACGTGTTACTTCTTTAGTAGGGCTATGAAATCGAGACATGAATTCACACTTAGGTAGTAGTTAAAAATCTGTTGAGGTCCTCATAATAATTGAACAGATATCAGTCAAGACAACCTTTCAAGTATTGCAAATACAACCCAACCAACAAGGGTCTATAGAATTCCTGTGAACAAATGTCAGCGGTTTTGGAATTGTTTTGTCGCATTCGCTTATTTCAAAACTTTAAATGGGCTACAATGTTTCCATGGCTTTTGAAGAATTCATCACTGGTGGACTGCGTTATAGATGCGTTTTTGTTTAGGAACATTAGATGCGAAAAATTATTTTTTGTTGTTACCAACTATTTGCGTCCATCAGCAGGTCTGTAATCTTTCAAAGAAAGTTTGCTTATGAAGACTGGACTTGAGTGTATTTCCACCCCACTTGCGATTTGTCGAAAGTCTATTCTAGCTTACTATTAAGTTGGGATGATGAGGATGTGAGTGTTTGGAATATATGCTTGCCAGTTATAGTGCCGTGGTTTGGCGATGTGTTGATGATATCATAGTCGGTAAGTGTAGGCAAGTCATATTACTTGAAAATACAGAGCTATTTAAACAATATAAATCGTGTTATGGTGTAACTTATGTTTGGAAATCAGAAATGACAGAGACAGTCATTTGGTTATGATAGTAGATCTTATCGTACCGTTAGAGAAAGCGTAGAATGATATCTGCGTCTTATTTGAAGAGACACTACACTTATAGTTAAAACTTAGACTTCAACCTTAGTCTTTCACTTAAGAACGACATGTAAACCCCACAGGAAGGTAAATAAACAACAACAGGTCTGCAAGGATAACTTTGATGGTTTATTAATCGAACGAGGCAGGTCAAAACACTTGCATACATACAATTGGAACTCGATCTTGTTCGAGACTGAGAACATTGATATGTTGAAAGTGAATTCGTTGAATAAGAGAGTAGTCTTCATGAATTTGACAGAAACGGTTTACTCATTTCAGAGTAAGAAAAGGTGCAAAGAACATCGATTTATATATATAACAAATGAAATTTGGCTATTCATGTAAGTATTGTAAATTCTTATCAAATTCACCGCCTGAGCAAGTGTTCATGTTCGTTTGAAACTCGGTATATTAAATGTTAATACAAATACAACGATGGCATATGAAGCATGGAAATAAAAGATTAACAGTTTTATATGCGTTTAGAGACAAAGCAAATTTAAAAATCTCTCTGAGAATAAACCTGAAAGACACTAGCACTACCCTCATATATAGATTCAAGGGAAGTGTTAACTATAGTCCAAAACCTTTTCTGTAAGATTCTAGGATGCGTTCAATGTTTGCTACAACCAAAATGTAGTAGGTAATTAGCACACGGTTAAATATAGAAGAGAATAAGTGGATGGAGCAGATTGTGAGGAAACAATCATACTACTTGCAAACAGCAAGTAGTATAAAAATTCAGATATATAAATAAAGATATATTTATAAGAGTACAAGGGCAACTTCGAATTAAAAAATGAAGTTAAAAGGATTAACAGTTGATAGTAAATCAACCAGTAGTTAAGTCACTGAATTTAATTCGAGTGATTAATTATCTTCATTATGTAGAATTGTTGAAACTAGTGCAACAATCTCCTGATTTCCTGCCTATACCTTCCTTGTCGTTGCCATCACAGACTTCTGATTGTCATTACGGCATAAGATGTTTCATCTGAAACGCATCACTGATATACTTTGAGACAATTAAAAGACTAAAATAGCGTAGCTACGGTTTTGACCATTTTGGAAAACCAAATTGTTGAATGTTTTCATGTTTAATTAGTATTATATAACTTTTCATAAAAATATTTAGAAAAAAATATAGTTTCAAAATAAACATTTGACAAAAAATATAGGTAATTAAACAGAATGCAAAACATGCTCATCAGATCTTGTGTGTTAGTTTACTGAATTATGAAAATATAGAGGTAATGTTTACTTATTCATCTATGGGGTAGATTTACCTAAGGTTTTATGGGTAAACATTTCTCTTGTTAAATATACATAAATTTGTATCTAGTTAGTGGCCAAGTAAATCCAGTAAAATGAATTTGATATTATTCTTTGCTTTACTAGGAGTTACGATTTTCAGCGGTATTAAAGGTAAGAGTTTAATTTGGAATGTTTAGATACTTTTATGGTAGTGTGGATTTGAATGAAAGGTAGGGAGAGAATACAGTGATTCAAATGAAATTATGAACAAATTAGCAGTTGGATCTTGTAATTTAGTTGGTAGGTAGTAAAGCGTGGTGCCAAGAAAACGGTGATTTGAAACCAATTACAACTTAGGCTATATTCCAACTGCATACACCATTCCTCTATTCTATGCAGGAATCAGTATTCCAGTCAGGACTTTCTAGGATATAAGAAATAATAGTTAATCATACTATGGCCTGACTTGGCCTAGCTTAATTTTGGTTTGAATAAGAAAACGTAGCGTGACAAACGAGGTAATAGGTAATAGTAATATGGTGGGCTGAAACAAACAGAGTCTAGTTAAGAATCTTACACGTTTGCACTAATTAGTGGGTCCTTCTATTCAAATGCGCATGGTATGTTGAACAACTTTTGATCCTTATTTGGTTTTCAATCTATTAGTTGGATTCAGCTTTTAAACTTGAGCTTAAATGAGTTGCTTTTACTTACTTCAAAGGGTTGGCTTATTGTTGGATGAGTATTTATAATTTCACTATGAGTTTTGTTTATTTGAAAGTGACTCTCATCATGGATTGGTGTATGTTGCAGAAACACTAGCCTTTCTTAGGTCAATGAGCAGCTGTTTCTTACCAAACTGAGAATTTCCAGCAGTGTAGAACATTCCATGTATATATGTATATGTGTCGTTGATTGAAACTAATTTGGTCGGGCCTTGCGTGGGTGCCTAGATAGTGTCTGTGTTTCAATTTTGTATTATTGATAGATAGTTGGACTACATCTCTCACTTGGAGGCAGGTGCATCCAGCTAATGAGCCCCAGGTAGAACGAAACGTGCATCCTAGAGTCCTTTGCTATTCACCATCCATCATTAAAACAAGTTACTCCAATTTAATATTCTGACTGTCTTCTAAAAGAATCTATGCAATTTTAGATTTTCTCCAGAGGCTTAATTGAGGGTTTCTTATTTTTACCTGTTACGCATAATTTACAAGCCCCCTTATAAAGCAGATGACATATTTTTGGTGTACTGCTGTTTTACGAACTGATTACTGAAACCAGTTGCAAAAATGTTTGCATAGTTTGAAGCAAGGTTAACACAAGCCTTATATTCTAAAATACTTTAATCGCATCATCAAATAGTTTCAGTTGCTGAATGTTAACATAATTGATATGTACAAATAGATTATTTACAGTAATATCAATGGTTTTAACGTCCTGGCATTTCCGACTGAAGTCATTAGACTTATAAATATTTCCTAAATAAATAACATACTTGAATGGAAAGGGAAAAATTCACTCTTACGGTATAGTGTATGTGCGCGCGATACGTGTTTGGAAGTTTATTCGTGACCAGTGAGGGACTCCGGGCTTTTCTGGATGGCAACTTAGCGTTGTTTTTTAATAATTCAGTATCTTAATATAGTAGAAATCGAGCAGTGGCAAGCGATGATACAGTGTTTAATAACAGATCTTATTTCTTCCACTTCTGGTATTCATATTTCACCTTAAGAGTATGAGTTTTCTGCGTGAATTTTTCCATACTAATACCTTTACGCAATTATTTTTTCATTGAAAAAATCAGATGCAGAAAATTATTAGTGAAAAACTTCACACTTCATCACAGTGATGTGTGATAAACTTTTCTGCACAAATACTTCATATTAATAGGGTCAATATACAGTTTGACATATGTTCGTTGCTGTCAGTCTATAACTTTGTAAAATGTGCTATCTGTCGAGTTTCAGAGGATGATTCAAGCAAAACAACATTTGCCAACCTACTGTATTGAAAAGTCTTTGATCAGCTAACTACATTCTGCTTTTATAACAGATTCAATTTTACTGAAAATTTGTTGAGAAATAAAAATAGTCTTTGTTTCTTAAAAAACGTTTATCATGACATCTAAAAGTGCAGCATATTTGCTTTCCATCGCTGTGATGTTACCTATCATAAAATTTATTAATTTCGAGATCATATACTTTCGGGTTGAAATCTGACACTGGCACAATTCATAGAGGCACTTTTAGTCACATTTTCCATTACATACTAATTCAGTAAGATTATTTTCATCATAGTATCCATACACGAATACTTTGGAAGAAGCGTGAACTTAACCGTTGTGATTCTAATTGATAAACATTCTTTACTTGATAAAATGTGGTGAAAATAGGATTTGGATATTAGATATTTTGCCTAATTTCAGTCTTATGTTTTTAGCTGTAGACCTAAATATAAACTTATCGTTACTGTTTTGGATCCGATGAAGTACAGTTTTGACTAGCGTTTTCGCCTAGTCATTAATCTGAATTCAAGCTTTATCGATTGTAGTTGAAATCTGTCAGAATGAAATAGGCTGATATAAAATTATTTGGATATATAGAGGATGAAATAATTCTAAAAACTAACAGCAGAGAAATATATATATATTCTTGTTTATTTACAAAATAAGAAGAGTTTGATTGGTTTATAACAACTGCTCATGTCCAAACAGTAAGTTACTTTTTATAGGAATTTCGACTGTAAAAGATACAAAATATTTTTTAAAAAGACTTCATTCACAAATTTGCTTAGGGGTTAACATAAATTAAACTAGGAAATACCATTTTATGACAGACAAATATCGTACCTTTAGATCATCTTCAAGACAATTTATTGTCACTCATCGCTCTAGTTTACTGAATATTTATGTATACATATATTATAAGTTTCATCATTATTCGCCAGGTTTTCCCAACAACCATTATAATCCGTATGTTCTGTATACTTTGGTTGCATCTTTTGTTTTCAACTTGGTTTCTTTTGCATGGTTGAATAGATACATTTTTGAGTGTTTTTTATAACAAATATCTACTTTGTATAAGTATGTACAAGCCTTGTACTTATTGATGTAAAATTGCATAAATAGGCACAGATTACTTCCATTACCAATAGATTCGGTAGTTTGGAGTTGTGTGGCTGTGTTCAGTCAACATTTTATCGATATCTAAAAGTCAGATAAACCTGTGCATCGAGAAGCTCCATCTTTCAGGAGTGAATCTTTTTCGATATGTTTGAATGCATAGTTTGTTGGGCAGTGAAAAATTCCAAGTAGTTGTAAAAGTTTAGGAAAGAATAATAAAGTGTGTACAGCTCTTTTAACATGCGGATATAAAGGCTATCACTTACAAGCAGTTTTAGAACTCTCTTTGCTTCTAACAAAACAACCTAACAATTGGATAACTGCTTCTTGATTACGGCGAAACTGTCAAATATTAGCTTGACTACATTTAAAAGGTATGTCACCTTTCACTTCATGGCCAGTCTAAGAGACAAATTTAATAATGATGTTGATTAACAGATTAACATGAGAAAAACAGTAAAGTTCCCGACACATTCAAGTGACACAGAATGATGGTGGTACCAGTGATAACAGTAAATAATCAACTGATGTTTGCCGAAGTACATATAAAGATCTAAGTACTAGGGCAATCATCATCAATTCTAGGAGGCTTCCTTATTTAAGCTGAAACAGACGTCAAAAATACTTTTATGTCGAGTACTTACTTAGTGAACATCCAACTAATCTGCTGAAAAACTTGAGATTCTTTAGATAATGATTTCAAGCGTCAAAGGAATTCATCAGTTAACAGATTCATTTTAATCGCTTCAGTCAACGTAAGCTCTTAAGGCAGAGTTTGATAAATTTTTTGGATGACATAAATCTGTAGTCTTTCCCGTAACAATTACTGAAATATTACAATTTTTAAAAAATCTTCATAGGTATGATGATTATGGTGATGAGTATTACTATGATGAGTAAGCAATAATTATCCTTTAAGCAATACTTCATGTAACTGTAATATATAGTATGTATATCTGATTTATCTTACCGATATAGTTTCTAACATTCAAGTAGAAATTATGATTATCGTCGTATAACGATTGTCTGGAGACAAGTAGTGCGGCATTCATGGTTACCTGTCGGTTGTCTAAGTAGCCCAGCTAAACTTAGATATTCATGTGATGCACGCATAAGCTATTCGGCAAAAGAGGATCTCAATATTTATTTCATATACAGCACAAATCTGATTCAGTTACAAAGACAAAATTATATTGTTTGGTTTTGTCCTTAAAGATTTTACAAACGGAAGCGTTTCAGCATGTTACTTTAATTCTGATGAGATCATTGCTGAGGCACAAACCTAGCACACTCTAAAACAGCATACATAATTGACGTACTTACTAAATATCGTGAAGTCCACTTTTAGGAAACAGTTAAATTACTTTTAGACCTACTATCGCTTAAGATGAAAGATATTTTAGATGATTATTGTAAACGTTTGCAGTATGGAACTATTTACGTAGAGACAGGGATAGTTAGTGTAGTAAAAATATAGTTTTTATTGCATGAAAAAGCCACAAGGATTTCAGTGGATAAATTTCTCTTTAGGACGATTTAATTTTCATGGCTGTTCATTCATGCCATACTTAGGGTAGTATCTTTTGTTTTAGGTTTTTTATTTCTTACTCAAACATAAATAATGCAAATTAAACTCCGCTTGAGAATCTGAATCACCAGACGAATGTTTTTCACAAACCTATCAGAGGATTTGGATTAAATGAATTCACCTTTCCTTATTCGTACGTATCAGTTTATGAAAATGAAGCCGTTTCAGTAAAGTCATACAAACCAAGAAAACCTTATTCAGATGGAACGACAAGATGTAAGTTAGATGGAGGCAATCGACAGGAAGCCCTGGACCTCAGTTTCATGCTTTTTGGTACTTGTCAAGGAAGGCGTATCTGTAACGTCGATAGAGTCTTAGATTTCCCCACTAAGCTATTTCGACCACGAGTGACCTCTTGTTGGATTTGATTCTGTAAATTTAGTGGTTACTGGATAGTAACCAACTTCATATTTTCTAGTCCCAAGTGCTGTTCAAGTTCTTTCGGTCACAGATTTGAACGAACATGTATTGCTGGTAATGAATGGAAAACAGCTCACTGATAACTTTGAAGCAATAGGGAAAATTAGGACTTATTATATCTATGGTTCCTTGATTTTATGGTCTACTCATAGTTCGTAGACCTTAGCTATCATTCTGTCCTATGAATGGTTTGATCTATTTCCGTATCTCATATCCAAGCGTCGAAAATCGTTAACAAAACAATTTCGCAAACACATCTTTCATGAAGCAGATGACTTTGTTAATAGAATTGATAGCTAAAGTAATATTGAGAAGATAATGTTTTCCTCAGAATAGTTTTTGAAATCTACAGATTTTTATTTTCAAAGCAACGGTATAGTTCATTCATGGTCAAATTTATTCATATGGAGCAGATGTAAGCGTACATAAATCTTGCATGAGGGAACTCAAATACAAACCGAACATTTGACTTTTATTCACCAATCAAATTTACAGACAAGACAGTGTTGCAATGAAATCGCCACTAAGCTTATTGTAGGTGGAAATTTTCTCACCATGCATAGAACACAATAAGTTTGTACCAAATATTGGTAAACTATGCTTCTATAAAAGATGTATGCTTGTTATCTTCTAACATGTGTGGTGATACGTGTGATCTGAAAAGCTTGATTAAAATACGTAATCATTACTACCTATTAAGTTAGATTTAGGAAGATAAATTGGTTCTAAAATTTCACAACTCAATCTGCTAACTACAAGAGGCGTTTCTGTTTTTTTGAAAATGAATTGTACACAGAATAGACAGTTTGTTAATTTCCACAGCCTTGTTTTTACAGATATAAGAAGGAGTTTCGTTCGTTCTCTTTTGTCATGTATACGAAACATCCGTACAGATGACAACACATCGAACTAACTTAAACTGAGAATATAAAACTTTGAGAAGAAGTGATATCAGTTTTACCTTGTGGAGTATAAGAATGAGAAAATACTGAATACTTAGATGCTGTTACCTTACCAAAAGAGAAGTATTACACATTTAGAAATAAAAGGTAATACTATAATTTTAGGTGGACGTGTTGTATGTAAATCTTGATGTGTTTCTCTTCAGTCACCCGGTTCAGTGTGCTTTAGTTAAGCTTTATGCTTAGAAACATTATCAAGAAACATTCATCAATGGATTCCAAAGTACCTTTCAGTATTCATGAGCAAAACAGAACATAAAACGATAAAACTGTTTTTTCTGTAACATAAGGTTAAATGCAGTTAAACAGCCTTTGACTCATTATTTGACATCCGTTACAAAGTCAAACAAATCCTATCGAAAGAACTACGCACATACTTGCTTTTTCCCCAGAAATCTCGTTAGTGATTTGAAGGGTGTTACTGATTCTACTTGGCAAATAATTTTCTTTGCAAAATCCACTTCAATGACTGTGAGACTGTTTGAACACACAAGCTTATCTAAATCAAGACCGGTAGACCCCAGTAAGACAAAGAATTTTGAAGAAAGGTAGGTTGGAGATGTACATGTGATTACACAATAGGATAAGATAGAGCGACAGTATTAAAAATTGACTTATTTAGTTGAAAGGAGAGATCGGTAACTGGTTTTTTGGTTGATGAATCAAGACTAAATGTATGCCATAGGAATGGTGCAACATCTGTTCCAGATATATGGAAAGTTCTACTACCTATATCTGAAAGGAGGAGAGATTCCTTGAAGTAAATAAATCATATCTCAAACTTATGAAGTTACCTGCTATGGAAACAGACAATAAGTTCTGTCCATAAAGTTATCCAGTCTATAATACTGTTTCACTACTTTGATTGCACATCACAAACAACCAACGTGCAATAGCATTTCGCTGCAGTGTTCAGTTTTTAATACAACAATATTATATTTTCTCACCATATGCATTTTCATAATCAAGTAAATGGTTGACTTAAAACTGAAGGAAATTGGATTGCGTGGCATTTTCAAATCTTACAATAGATGAATAAGCTTTTTATAAAGGTTTCCTTTCCATTCTAACTTAGAGCAACATATAAACATAGTTTGTGGAATAATTTAATATCAAGATAAGAAATAAGGTAATTTAAAGAATTATGGAATCAACTTTCTGCATAGTAAAATGAAATTCAATTTCGAGTAGTCTATTCACTCATCACACTTCTGATTTTCTAAATTTTGCTTTATCAAGTTCAGAAATGATGTCCTTGTGAGTTATGGTTAATGAAAAGCAATAAATTGTACATTAATTCAGAAATATTATCTCTTTTCCTTAAAACTGTTTTGCTGTTCTGACATACTAGAGATTGTTCTTCAAACATTGCATGATGAACGTGAATAATTTTCAGTCTCATTTATTATTGAAAAAAGACACGATGGCATATTTTTAGTTTTCTCGTTCTTGTCGATGAATCTACAAACCACTTCACAAAATGCCTTGTAGTTGTATTTCTTGATGATTTGATGCATTACTGTAACATCACTCTAGTTATTAAAAGTAACCAAACTTTACTTGCATTCTTAAGATAAAAACATTTGTGAAGATATAAATACTGGATGAATTTATAAATGTGTTTGGCCAGACTAAGTGAAGTTCAGGTCAAAAAAGATGACAGCAACAGGAAAAAAAATACACACGTTAGGAAATTACTGGAGATTGGAAATTGGTGAATACCTGATTCAAGGTAATTACCAATTTCCGAGCCGATAGAATTTGTAACATCTGGAATTCAAAAGAAAGAATTCACTAGGGTCTTTGTGTTCAATTTCAAATTAATTCAAGTCACAGTCGATTCACTACAGTATCATTTCGTGCTATCAGCATAAATAGCTTCTAAAATTTCGATCACGCGAAGACACAAGTCATGCATTCTCACTGAAATTTCAACACATCAGTTATATCACAATCTGCATTGATAAGTGGAGTGATATATAGTGAAATCAATTAATATAAAGGTGAGTAAAATGAGAAATAATTATGATTTCCTTTTGATGAAAACAAGTAAAAATAAGAGAGCAATACGAAAATTCAGAGAAAGAGAGAAAAACCAAAAAAACATACAGGCAAGATATGAAGAATCTTAACAAACAAATTCAATGTCAATGAAAACCATAGATTTCAACAAAAAAAAACATAAAAACCGCCAAACAAAACCAACCAAACGCAGGAAAAAACATATGAAAATGAAAAAAACAACAACGGAAAGAAGCAGAAAAATATAGCAACAAAAAATACCCTAAGAAATAGCTGAAAAATACATAGATATCCATAAATAGCAAAAATTAAAAAAAACGCGAAAAAAAGAAAAACAGCAAAGAAAAAAAACAAACAGAGCCAGAAAGAAAAAATTCAGAGAAGCACCAAAAAAAAGATATAACTGGCTGACGAACATGATGACGGAGGTGACAAATTCACTGATTCACACATCACAACACGTGTTGTGGTGAATGCCCGACACTCAATGTGGCCACACGTGTAGAGGGAGACACACAACACCTTGAAACATTTGAACCGACTACCTCATATTTGTCTCTGAATACTCAGAGCATTTGGCGAGTGTCACTTTGCGAATTTGTCAGCATTTCACTGGACAACCTTCATCGATTGGTATTGTCGTCACTCATGCTTGTTACCTTTTTTCGTTAATTATCCCAACTAAACAGCGTGCCAACACAGAAACCAGTGTAAGTATATTCTCATCTGCTGATATCTGTCTCTGGTGCTTACCCTTCCTTGAGCTTAAGCATATCTCGTCAGACAGGGCTTTTGATGACACAGAGAATTGCGACGCACACTGCGTCAGTGTGCATGCATGACTGATGTCATTTTGTCGAGTGAAAGTCTTACAGTCACCTATTGACATATTCGTCCGGTGATTCCTACTTGTGGGGACCTCCTGTTTGCATGTGGAGATTCTTGAGGGGTGAAGAACTCACCTGTCACTGACAGACGAGTGGAGTGGAGGAATTGCACACAGAAGTGTGTGTCACTGATAATCCTCGACTTTCGAATACATCTGTAATGGGATTAGGCGAGAAATGAAGGTGGACAGAGAGGCAGAGATTGATGGAGTTTGAGTGATATAGAAAGCGTGTATGTGGAACCTGCTTGCTAGATCACTGTGCAGGCTTTTGTTGGTGGTCATGTGCATCTCTCTCATAAGCCTTCTTGATGTTGTGGGTATGAGTGATTTTGGATATTGTGAGAAATTGTAGACAATGTTATATGGGATGAGTTTGATCTCTAGTGTATGTATTGGACGGAGTGGATTTGCATGATGACGAAACTTGGTGTGTTCAGGTGAAAAGTCGCATGGAGATACAGGTAGGCGTCGACAACACAGAGGTGATTCGGTTGAGTGTTGTGGTTTGATTTAGTGTTATGTTGTTTAGAAGAGAACTGGAAGGCACGAGAGTTGTGAGGGATAATCTTCAGGCATGTGTTTCTCTCACACTGAAAAAAGCATCACATAGACTGTGGAGCTTTGCAACCAGGCGAACGACACACACGCTTTGATTATCCGTTTGTGTGGCTGATGCTTCAGGCTGATTCGTTATGAGACGGCAGTCAGGAGGGCAGACACACATCTGTCCCAATGATGTGGCCTGCAATTCATGTTATGGATGAATATATGCCAACTTTGTCTCGCAGTCCCATTTTCCAATTACAATTGTTCGTAGAACAGTCTACTTTTGTTTAGACAGTGATGCATTCCCAGATCACTGACCACCAATTCTGAGTGATGAAGTGTGTTGTTTGTAATTTCAGGTATCCAAGAAATAAACCAAGGTAAGTGAAATGAGGTGACCTAGAAAAGGTGGTCAGTGCACTCGACTGGCGTGGACGTCGAGAGTGTCCGTCAGCATGCATGATTTCAGTGTTCTCATGGTGACCGATTGAGGCAGTATGCCGAAGAGTGAGACACGTGTTCTCAGAGTGACAGTCTTCAAGAAGATCTATTCACAAGTGTCTTCTCGTCTCAAATAATCTACGGTCACTTGTGGAAACGCTTCATTCGCATTTTATAGTGCTACTCGCCACCGACATGTGAGTACACATTTCGACCTAGACAACGATCATGTGACTGTGTGATCTGGTCCAATCTCAACTGTCCAATTCCACTGGCTTCCCTGGCAACTCTCCATCAAGAGCCTGGCAGGCGGCCTTAATGTCTAGCTGGCTGACGAACATGATGACGGAGGTGACAAATTCACTGATTCACACATCACAACACGTGTTGTGGTGAATGCCCGACACTCAATGTGGCCACACGTGTAGAGGGAGACACACAACACCTTGAAACATTTGAACCGACTACCTCATATTTGTCTCTGAATACTCAGAGCATTTGGCGAGTGTCACTTTGCGAATTTGTCAGCATTTCACTGGACAACCTTCATCGATTGGTATTGTCGTCACTCATGCTTGTTACCTTTTTTCGTTAATTATCCCAACTAAACAGCGTGCCAACACAGAAACCAGTGTAAGTATATTCTCATCTGCTGATATCTGTCTCTGATGCTTACCCTTCCTTGAGCTTGAGCATATCTCGTCAGACAGGGCTTTTGATGACACAGAGAATTGCGACGCACACTGCGTCAGTGTGCATGCATGACTGATGTCATTTTGTCGAGTGAAAGTCTTACAGTCACCTATTGACATATTCGTCCGGTGATTCCTACTTGTGGGGACCTCCTGTTTGCATGTGGAGATTCTTGAGGGGTGAAGAACTCACCTGTCACTGACAGACGAGTGGAGTGGAGGAATTGCACACAGAAGTGTGTGTCACTGATAGTCCTCGACTTTCGAATACATCTGTAATGGGATTAGGCGAGAAATGAAGGTGGACAGAGAGGCAGAGATTGATGGAGTTTGAGTGATATAGAAAGCGTGTATGTGGAACCTGCTTGCTAGATCACTGTACAGGCTTTTGTTGGTGGTCATGTGCATCTCTCTCATAAGCCTTCTTGATGTTGTGGGTATGAGTGATTTTGGATATTGTGAGAAATTGTAGACAATGTTATATGGGATGAGTTTGATCTCTAGTGTATGTATTGGACGGAGTGGATTTGCATGATGACGAAACTTGGTGTGTTCAGGTGAAAAGTCGCATGGAGATACAGGTAGGCGTCGACAACACAGAGGTGATTCGGTTGAGTGTTGTGGTTTGATTTAGTGTTATGTTGTTTAGAAGAGAACTGGAAGGCACGAGAGTTGTGAGGGATAATCTTCAGGCATGTGTTTCTCACACACTGAAAAAAGCATCACATAGACTGTGGAGCTTTGCAACCAGGCGAACGACACACACGCTTTGATTATCCGTTTGTGTGGCTGATGCTTCAGGCTGATTCGTTATGAGACGGCAGTCAGGAGGGCAGACACACATCTGTCCCAATGATGTGGCCTGCAATTCATGTTATGGATGAATATATGCCAACTTTGTCTCGCAGTCCCATTTTCCAATTACAATTGTTCGTAGAACAGTCTACTTTTGTTTAGACAGTGATGCATTCCCAGATCACTGACCACCAATTCTGAGTGATGAAGTGTGTTGTTTGTAATTTCAGGTATCCAAGAAATAAACCAAGGTAAGTGAAATGAGGTGACCTAGAAAAGGTGGTCAGTGCACTCGACTGGCGTGGACGTCGAGAGTGTCCGTCAGCATGCATGATTTCAGTGTTCTCATGGTGACCGATTGAGGCAGTATGCCGAAGAGTGAGACACGTGTTCTCAGAGTGACAGTCTTCAAGAAGATCTATTCACAAGTGTCTTCTCGTCTCAAATAATCTACGGTCACTTGTGGAAACGCTTCATTCGCATTTTATAGTGCTACTCGCCACCGACATGTGAGTACACATTTCGACCTAGACAACGATCATGTGACTGTGTGATCTGGTCCAATCTCAACTGTCCAATTCCACTGGCTTCCCTGGCAACTCTCCATCAAGAGCCTGGCAGGCGGCCTTAATGTCTAGCTGGCTGACGAACATGATGACGGAGGTGACAAATTCACTGATTCACACATCACAACACGTGTTGTGGTGAATGCCCGACACTCAATGTGGCCACACGTGTAGAGGGAGACACACAACACCTTGAAACATTTGAACCGACTACCTCATATTTGTCTCTGAATACTCAGAGCATTTGGCGAGTGTCACTTTGCGAATTTGTCAGCATTTCACTGGACAACCTTCATCGATTGGTATTGTCGTCACTCATGCTTGTTACCTTTTTTCGTTAATTATCCCAACTAAACAGCGTGCCAACACAGAAACCAGTGTAAGTATATTCTCATCTGCTGATATCTGTCTCTGATGCTTACCCTTCCTTGAGCTTGAGCATATCTCGTCAGACAGGGCTTTTGATGACACAGAGAATTGCGACGCACACTGCGTCAGTGTGCATGCATGACTGATGTCATTTTGTCGAGTGAAAGTCTTACAGTCACCTATTGACATATTCGTCCGGTGATTCCTACTTGTGGGGACCTCCTGTTTGCATGTGGAGATTCTTGAGGGGTGAAGAACTCACCTGTCACTGACAGACGAGTGGAGTGGAGGAATTGCACACAGAAGTGTGTGTCACTGATAGTCCTCGACTTTCGAATACATCTGTAATGGGATTAGGCGAGAAATGAAGGTGGACAGAGAGGCAGAGATTGATGGAGTTTGAGTGATATAGAAAGCGTGTATGTGGAACCTGCTTGCTAGATCACTGTACAGGCTTTTGTTGGTGGTCATGTGCATCTCTCTCATAAGCCTTCTTGATGTTGTGGGTATGAGTGATTTTGGATATTGTGAGAAATTGTAGACAATGTTATATGGGATGAGTTTGATCTCTAGTGTATGTATTGGACGGAGTGGATTTGCATGATGACGAAACTTGGTGTGTTCAGGTGAAAAGTCGCATGGAGATACAGGTAGGCGTCGACAACACAGAGGTGATTCGGTTGAGTGTTGTGGTTTGATTTAGTGTTATGTTGTTTAGAAGAGAACTGGAAGGCACGAGAGTTGTGAGGGATAATCTTCAGGCATGTGTTTCTCACACACTGAAAAAAGCATCACATAGACTGTGGAGCTTTGCAACCAGGCGAACGACACACACGCTTTGATTATCCGTTTGTGTGGCTGATGCTTCAGGCTGATTCGTTATGAGACGGCAGTCAGGAGGGCAGACACACATCTGTCCCAATGATGTGGCCTGCAATTCATGTTATGGATGAATATATGCCAACTTTGTCTCGCAGTCCCATTTTCCAATTACAATTGTTCGTAGAACAGTCTACTTTTGTTTAGACAGTGATGCATTCCCAGATCACTGACCACCAATTCTGAGTGATGAAGTGTGTTGTTTGTAATTTCAGGTATCCAAGAAATAAACCAAGGTAAGTGAAATGAGGTGACCTAGAAAAGGTGGTCAGTGCACTCGACTGGCGTGGACGTCGAGAGTGTCCGTCAGCATGCATGATTTCAGTGTTCTCATGGTGACCGATTGAGGCAGTATGCCGAAGAGTGAGACACGTGTTCTCAGAGTGACAGTCTTCAAGAAGATCTATTCACAAGTGTCTTCTCGTCTCAAATAATCTACGGTCACTTGTGGAAACGCTTCATTCGCATTTTATAGTGCTACTCGCCACCGACATGTGAGTACACATTTCGACCTAGACAACGATCATGTGACTGTGTGATCTGGTCCAATCTCAACTGTCCAATTCCACTGGCTTCCCTGGCAACTCTCCATCAAGAGCCTGGCAGGCGGCCTTAATGTCTAGCTGGCTGACGAACATGATGACGGAGGTGACAAATTCACTGATTCACACATCACAACACGTGTTGTGGTGAATGCCCGACACTCAATGTGGCCACACGTGTAGAGGGAGACACACAACACCTTGAAACATTTGAACCGACTACCTCATATTTGTCTCTGAATACTCAGAGCATTTGGCGAGTGTCACTTTGCGAATTTGTCAGCATTTCACTGGACAACCTTCATCGATTGGTATTGTCGTCACTCATGCTTGTTACCTTTTTTCGTTAATTATCCCAACTAAACAGCGTGCCAACACAGAAACCAGTGTAAGTATATTCTCATCTGCTGATATCTGTCTCTGATGCTTACCCTTCCTTGAGCTTGAGCATATCTCGTCAGACAGGGCTTTTGATGACACAGAGAATTGCGACGCACACTGCGTCAGTGTGCATGCATGACTGATGTCATTTTGTCGAGTGAAAGTCTTACAGTCACCTATTGACATATTCGTCCGGTGATTCCTACTTGTGGGGACCTCCTGTTTGCATGTGGAGATTCTTGAGGGGTGAAGAACTCACCTGTCACTGACAGACGAGTGGAGTGGAGGAATTGCACACAGAAGTGTGTGTCACTGATAGTCCTCGACTTTCGAATACATCTGTAATGGGATTAGGCGAGAAATGAAGGTGGACAGAGAGGCAGAGATTGATGGAGTTTGAGTGATATAGAAAGCGTGTATGTGGAACCTGCTTGCTAGATCACTGTACAGGCTTTTGTTGGTGGTCATGTGCATCTCTCTCATAAGCCTTCTTGATGTTGTGGGTATGAGTGATTTTGGATATTGTGAGAAATTGTAGACAATGTTATATGGGATGAGTTTGATCTCTAGTGTATGTATTGGACGGAGTGGATTTGCATGATGACGAAACTTGGTGTGTTCAGGTGAAAAGTCGCATGGAGATACAGGTAGGCGTCGACAACACAGAGGTGATTCGGTTGAGTGTTGTGGTTTGATTTAGTGTTATGTTGTTTAGAAGAGAACTGGAAGGCACGAGAGTTGTGAGGGATAATCTTCAGGCATGTGTTTCTCACACACTGAAAAAAGCATCACATAGACTGTGGAGCTTTGCAACCAGGCGAACGACACACACGCTTTGATTATCCGTTTGTGTGGCTGATGCTTCAGGCTGATTCGTTATGAGACGGCAGTCAGGAGGGCAGACACACATCTGTCCCAATGATGTGGCCTGCAATTCATGTTATGGATGAATATATGCCAACTTTGTCTCGCAGTCCCATTTTCCAATTACAATTGTTCGTAGAACAGTCTACTTTTGTTTAGACAGTGATGCATTCCCAGATCACTGACCACCAATTCTGAGTGATGAAGTGTGTTGTTTGTAATTTCAGGTATCCAAGAAATAAACCAAGGTAAGTGAAATGAGGTGACCTAGAAAAGGTGGTCAGTGCACTCGACTGGCGTGGACGTCGAGAGTGTCCGTCAGCATGCATGATTTCAGTGTTCTCATGGTGACCGATTGAGGCAGTATGCCGAAGAGTGAGACACGTGTTCTCAGAGTGACAGTCTTCAAGAAGATCTATTCACAAGTGTCTTCTCGTCTCAAATAATCTACGGTCACTTGTGGAAACGCTTCATTCGCATTTTATAGTGCTACTCGCCACCGACATGTGAGTACACATTTCGACCTAGACAACGATCATGTGACTGTGTGATCTGGTCCAATCTCAACTGTCCAATTCCACTGGCTTCCCTGGCAACTCTCCATCAAGAGCCTGGCAGGCGGCCTTAATGTCTAGCTGGCTGACGAACATGATGACGGAGGTGACAAATTCACTGATTCACACATCACAACACGTGTTGTGGTGAATGCCCGACACTCAATGTGGCCACACGTGTAGAGGGAGACACACAACACCTTGAAACATTTGAACCGACTACCTCATATTTGTCTCTGAATACTCAGAGCATTTGGCGAGTGTCACTTTGCGAATTTGTCAGCATTTCACTGGACAACCTTCATCGATTGGTATTGTCGTCACTCATGCTTGTTACCTTTTTTCGTTAATTATCCCAACTAAACAGCGTGCCAACACAGAAACCAGTGTAAGTATATTCTCATCTGCTGATATCTGTCTCTGATGCTTACCCTTCCTTGAGCTTGAGCATATCTCGTCAGACAGGGCTTTTGATGACACAGAGAATTGCGACGCACACTGCGTCAGTGTGCATGCATGACTGATGTCATTTTGTCGAGTGAAAGTCTTACAGTCACCTATTGACATATTCGTCCGGTGATTCCTACTTGTGGGGACCTCCTGTTTGCATGTGGAGATTCTTGAGGGGTGAAGAACTCACCTGTCACTGACAGACGAGTGGAGTGGAGGAATTGCACACAGAAGTGTGTGTCACTGATAGTCCTCGACTTTCGAATACATTTGTAATGGGATTAGGCGAGAAATGAAGGTGGACAGAGAGGCAGAGATTGATGGAGTTTGAGTGATATAGAAAGCGTGTATGTGGAACCTGCTTGCTAGATCACTGTACAGGCTTTTGTTGGTGGTCATGTGCATCTCTCTCATAAGCCTTCTTGATGTTGTGGGTATGAGTGATTTTGGATATTGTGAGAAATTGTAGACAATGTTATATGGGATGAGTTTGATCTCTAGTGTATGTATTGGACGGAGTGGATTTGCATGATGACGAAACTTGGTGTGTTCAGGTGAAAAGTCGCATGGAGATACAGGTAGGCGTCGACAACACAGAGGTGATTCGGTTGAGTGTTGTGGTTTGATTTAGTGTTATGTTGTTTAGAAGAGAACTGGAAGGCACGAGAGTTGTGAGGGATAATCTTCAGGCATGTGTTTCTCACACACTGAAAAAAGCATCACATAGACTGTGGAGCTTTGCAACCAGGCGAACGACACACACGCTTTGATTATCCGTTTGTGTGGCTGATGCTTCAGGCTGATTCGTTATGAGACGGCAGTCAGGAGGGCAGACACACATCTGTCCCAATGATGTGGCCTGCAATTCATGTTATGGATGAATATATGCCAACTTTGTCTCGCAGTCCCATTTTCCAATTACAATTGTTCGTAGAACAGTCTACTTTTGTTTAGACAGTGATGCATTCCCAGATCACTGACCACCAATTCTGAGTGATGAAGTGTGTTGTTTGTAATTTCAGGTATCCAAGAAATAAACCAAGGTAAGTGAAATGAGGTGACCTAGAAAAGGTGGTCAGTGCACTCGACTGGCGTGGACGTCGAGAGTGTCCGTCAGCATGCATGATTTCAGTGTTCTCATGGTGACCGATTGAGGCAGTATGCCGAAGAGTGAGACACGTGTTCTCAGAGTGACAGTCTTCAAGAAGATCTATTCACAAGTGTCTTCTCGTCTCAAATAATCTACGGTCACTTGTGGAAACGCTTCATTCGCATTTTATAGTGCTACTCGCCACCGACATGTGAGTACACATTTCGACCTAGACAACGATCATGTGACTGTGTGATCTGGTCCAATCTCAACTGTCCAATTCCACTGGCTTCCCTGGCAACTCTCCATCAAGAGCCTGGCAGGCGGCCTTAATGTCTAGCTGGCTGACGAACATGATGACGGAGGTGACAAATTCACTGATTCACACATCACAACACGTGTTGTGGTGAATGCCCGACACTCAATGTGGCCACACGTGTAGAGGGAGACACACAACACCTTGAAACATTTGAACCGACTACCTCATATTTGTCTCTGAATACTCAGAGCATTTGGCGAGTGTCACTTTGCGAATTTGTCAGCATTTCACTGGACAACCTTCATCGATTGGTATTGTCGTCACTCATGCTTGTTACCTTTTTTCGTTAATTATCCCAACTAAACAGCGTGCCAACACAGAAACCAGTGTAAGTATATTCTCATCTGCTGATATCTGTCTCTGATGCTTACCCTTCCTTGAGCTTGAGCATATCTCGTCAGACAGGGCTTTTGATGACACAGAGAATTGCGACGCACACTGCGTCAGTGTGCATGCATGACTGATGTCATTTTGTCGAGTGAAAGTCTTACAGTCACCTATTGACATATTCGTCCGGTGATTCCTACTTGTGGGGACCTCCTGTTTGCATGTGGAGATTCTTGAGGGGTGAAGAACTCACCTGTCACTGACAGACGAGTGGAGTGGAGGAATTGCACACAGAAGTGTGTGTCACTGATAGTCCTCGACTTTCGAATACATCTGTAATGGGATTAGGCGAGAAATGAAGGTGGACAGAGAGGCAGAGATTGATGGAGTTTGAGTGATATAGAAAGCGTGTATGTGGAACCTGCTTGCTAGATCACTGTACAGGCTTTTGTTGGTGGTCATGTGCATCTCTCTCATAAGCCTTCTTGATGTTGTGGGTATGAGTGATTTTGGATATTGTGAGAAATTGTAGACAATGTTATATGGGATGAGTTTGATCTCTAGTGTATGTATTGGACGGAGTGGATTTGCATGATGACGAAACTTGGTGTGTTCAGGTGAAAAGTCGCATGGAGATACAGGTAGGCGTCGACAACACAGAGGTGATTCGGTTGAGTGTTGTGGTTTGATTTAGTGTTATGTTGTTTAGAAGAGAACTGGAAGGCACGAGAGTTGTGAGGGATAATCTTCAGGCATGTGTTTCTCACACACTGAAAAAAGCATCACATAGACTGTGGAGCTTTGCAACCAGGCGAACGACACACACGCTTTGATTATCCGTTTGTGTGGCTGATGCTTCAGGCTGATTCGTTATGAGACGGCAGTCAGGAGGGCAGACACACATCTGTCCCAATGATGTGGCCTGCAATTCATGTTATGGATGAATATATGCCAACTTTGTCTCGCAGTCCCATTTTCCAATTACAATTGTTCGTAGAACAGTCTACTTTTGTTTAGACAGTGATGCATTCCCAGATCACTGACCACCAATTCTGAGTGATGAAGTGTGTTGTTTGTAATTTCAGGTATCCAGGAAATAAACCAAGGTAAGTGAAATGAGGTGACCTAGAAAAGGTGGTCAGTGCACTCGACTGGCGTGGACGTCGAGAGTGTCCGTCAGCATGCATGATTTCAGTGTTCTCATGGTGACCGATTGAGGCAGTATGCCGAAGAGTGAGACACGTGTTCTCAGAGTGACAGTCTTCAAGAAGATCTATTCACAAGTGTCTTCTCGTCTCAAATAATCTACGGTCACTTGTGGAAACGCTTCATTCGCATTTTATAGTGCTACTCGCCACCGACATGTGAGTACACATTTCGACCTAGACAACGATCATGTGACTGTGTGATCTGGTCCAATCTCAACTGTCCAATTCCACTGGCTTCCCTGGCAACTCTCCATCAAGAGCCTGGCAGGCGGCCTTAATGTCTAGCTGGCTGACGAACATGATGACGGAGGTGACAAATTCACTGATTCACACATCACAACACGTGTTGTGGTGAATGCCCGACACTCAATGTGGCCACACGTGTAGAGGGAGACACACAACACCTTGAAACATTTGAACCGACTACCTCATATTTGTCTCTGAATACTCAGAGCATTTGGCGAGTGTCACTTTGCGAATTTGTCAGCATTTCACTGGACAACCTTCATCGATTGGTATTGTCGTCACTCATGCTTGTTACCTTTTTTCGTTAATTATCCCAACTAAACAGCGTGCCAACACAGAAACCAGTGTAAGTATATTCTCATCTGCTGATATCTGTCTCTGATGCTTACCCTTCCTTGAGCTTGAGCATATCTCGTCAGACAGGGCTTTTGATGACACAGAGAATTGCGACGCACACTGCGTCAGTGTGCATGCATGACTGATGTCATTTTGTCGAGTGAAAGTCTTACAGTCACCTATTGACATATTCGTCCGGTGATTCCTACTTGTGGGGACCTCCTGTTTGCATGTGGAGATTCTTGAGGGGTGAAGAACTCACCTGTCACTGACAGACGAGTGGAGTGGAGGAATTGCACACAGAAGTGTGTGTCACTGATAGTCCTCGACTTTCGAATACATCTGTAATGGGATTAGGCGAGAAATGAAGGTGGACAGAGAGGCAGAGATTGATGGAGTTTGAGTGATATAGAAAGCGTGTATGTGGAACCTGCTTGCTAGATCACTGTGCAGGCTTTTGTTGGTGGTCATGTGCATCTCTCTCATAAGCCTTCTTGATGTTGTGGGTATGAGTGATTTTGGATATTGTGAGAAATTGTAGACAATGTTATATGGGATGAGTTTGATCTCTAGTGTATGTATTGGACGGAGTGGATTTGCATGATGACGAAACTTGGTGTGTTCAGGTGAAAAGTCGCATGGAGATACAGGTAGGCGTCGACAACACAGAGGTGATTCGGTTGAGTGTTGTGGTTTGATTTAGTGTTATGTTGTTTAGAAGAGAACTGGAAGGCACGAGAGTTGTGAGGGATAATCTTCAGGCATGTGTTTCTCACACACTGAAAAAAGCATCACATAGACTGTGGAGCTTTGCAACCAGGCGAACGACACACACGCTTTGATTATCCGTTTGTGTGGCTGATGCTTCAGGCTGATTCGTTATGAGACGGCAGTCAGGAGGGCAGACACACATCTGTCCCAATGATGTGGCCTGCAATTCATGTTATGGATGAATATATGCCAACTTTGTCTCGCAGTCCCATTTTCCAATTACAATTGTTCGTAGAACAGTCTACTTTTGTTTAGACAGTGATGCATTCCCAGATCACTGACCACCAATTCTGAGTGATGAAGTGTGTTGTTTGTAATTTCAGGTATCCAGGAAATAAACCAAGGTAAGTGAAATGAGGTGACCTAGAAAAGGTGGTCAGTGCACTCGACTGGCGTGGACGTCGAGAGTGTCCGTCAGCATGCATGATTTCAGTGTTCTCATGGTGACCGATTGAGGCAGTATGCCGAAGAGTGAGACACGTGTTCTCAGAGTGACAGTCTTCAAGAAGATCTATTCACAAGTGTCTTATCGTCTCAAATAATCTACGGTCACTTGTGGAAACGCTTCATTCGCATTTTATAGTGCTACTCGCCACCGACATGTGAGTACACATTTCGACCTAGACAACGATCATGTGACTGTGTGATCTGGTCCAATCTCAACTGTCCAATTCCACTGGCTTCCCTGGCAACTCTCCATCAAGAGCCTGGCAGGCGGCCTTAATGTCTAGCTGGCTGACGAACATGATGACGGAGGTGACAAATTCACTGATTCACACATCACAACACGTGTTGTGGTGAATGCCCGACACTCAATGTGGCCACACGTGTAGAGGGAGACACACAACACCTTGAAACATTTGAACCGACTACCTCATATTTGTCTCTGAATACTCAGAGCATTTGGCGAGTGTCACTTTGCGAATTTGTCAGCATTTCACTGGACAACCTTCATCGATTGGTATTGTCGTCACTCATGCTTGTTACCTTTTTTCGTTAATTATCCCAACTAAACAGCGTGCCAACACAGAAACCAGTGTAAGTATATTCTCATCTGCTGATATCTGTCTCTGATGCTTACCCTTCCTTGAGCTTGAGCATATCTCGTCAGACAGGGCTTTTGATGACACAGAGAATTGCGACGCACACTGCGTCAGTGTGCATGCATGACTGATGTCATTTTGTCGAGTGAAAGTCTTACAGTCACCTATTGACATATTCGTCCGGTGATTCCTACTTGTGGGGACCTCCTGTTTGCATGTGGAGATTCTTGAGGGGTGAAGAACTCACCTGTCACTGACAGACGAGTGGAGTGGAGGAATTGCACACAGAAGTGTGTGTCACTGATAGTCCTCGACTTTCGAATACATCTGTAATGGGATTAGGCGAGAAATGAAGGTGGACAGAGAGGCAGAGATTGATGGAGTTTGAGTGATATAGAAAGCGTGTATGTGGAACCTGCTTGCTAGATCACTGTACAGGCTTTTGTTGGTGGTCATGTGCATCTCTCTCATAAGCCTTCTTGATGTTGTGGGTATGAGTGATTTTGGATATTGTGAGAAATTGTAGACAATGTTATATGGGATGAGTTTGATCTCTAGTGTATGTATTGGACGGAGTGGATTTGCATGATGACGAAACTTGGTGTGTTCAGGTGAAAAGTCGCATGGAGATACAGGTAGGCGTCGACAACACAGAGGTGATTCGGTTGAGTGTTGTGGTTTGATTTAGTGTTATGTTGTTTAGAAGAGAACTGGAAGGCACGAGAGTTGTGAGGGATAATCTTCAGGCATGTGTTTCTCTCACACTGAAAAAAGCATCACATAGACTGTGGAGCTTTGCAACCAGGCGACAGTGATGCATTCCCAGATCACTGACCACCAATTCTGAGTGATGAAGTGTGTTGTTTGTAATTTCAGGTATCCAAGAAATAAACCAAGGTAAGTGAAATGAGGTGACCTAGAAAAGGTGGTCAGTGCACTCGACTGGCGTGGACGTCGAGAGTGTCCGTCAGCATGCATGATTTCAGTGTTCTCATGGTGACCGATTGAGGCAGTATGCCGAAGAGTGAGACACGTGTTCTCAGAGTGACAGTCTTCAAGAAGATCTATTCACAAGTGTCTTCTCGTCTCAAATAATCTACGGTCACTTGTGGAAACGCTTCATTCGCATTTTATAGTGCTACTCGCCACCGACATGTGAGTACACATTTCGACCTAGACAACGATCATGTGACTGTGTGATCTGGTCCAATCTCAACTGTCCAATTCCACTGGCTTCCCTGGCAACTCTCCATCAAGAGCCTGGCAGGCGGCCTTAATGTCTAGCTGGCTGACGAACATGATGACGGAGGTGACAAATTCACTGATTCACACATCACAACACGTGTTGTGGTGAATGCCCGACACTCAATGTGGCCACACGTGTAGAGGGAGACACACAACACCTTGAAATATTTGAACCGACTACCTCATATTTGTCTCTGAATACTCAGAGCATTTGGCGAGTGTCACTTTGCGAATTTGTCAGCATTTCACTGGACAACCTTCATCGATTGGTATTGTCGTCACTCATGCTTGTTACCTTTTTTCGTTAATTATCCCAACTAAACAGCGTGCCAACACAGAAACCAGTGTAAGTATATTCTCATCTGCTGATATCTGTCTCTGATGCTTACCCTTCCTTGAGCTTAAGCATATCTCGTCAGACAGGGCTTTTGATGACACAGAGAATTGCGACGCACACTGCGTCAGTGTGCATGCATGACTGATGTCATTTTGTCGAGTGAAAGTCTTACAGTCACCTATTGACATATTCGTCCGGTGATTCCTACTTGTGGGGACCTCCTGTTTGCATGTGGAGATTCTTGAGGGGTGAAGAACTCACCTGTCACTGACAGACGAGTGGAGTGGAGGAATTGCACACAGAAGTGTGTGTCACTGATAGTCCTCGACTTTCGAATACATCTGTAATGGGATTAGGCGAGAAATGAAGGTGGACAGAGAGGCAGAGATTGATGGAGTTTGAGTGATATAGAAAGCGTGTATGTGGAACCTGCTTGCTAGATCACTGTACAGGCTTTTGTTGGTGGTCATGTGCATCTCTCTCATAAGCCTTCTTGATGTTGTGGGTATGAGTGATTTTGGATATTGTGAGAAATTGTAGACAATGTTATATGGGATGAGTTTGATCTCTAGTGTATGTATTGGACGGAGTGGATTTGCATGATGACGAAACTTGGTGTGTTCAGGTGAAAAGTCGCATGGAGATACAGGTAGGCGTCGACAACACAGAGGTGATTCGGTTGAGTGTTGTGGTTTGATTTAGTGTTATGTTGTTTAGAAGAGAACTGGAAGGCACGAGAGTTGTGAGGGATAATCTTCAGGCATGTGTTTCTCACACACTGAAAAAAGCATCACATAGACTGTGGAGCTTTGCAACCAGGCGAACGACACACACGCTTTGATTATCCGTTTGTGTGGCTGATGCTTCAGGCTGATTCGTTATGAGACGGCAGTCAGGAGGGCAGACACACATCTGTCCCAATGATGTGGCCTGCAATTCATGTTATGGATGAATATATGCCAACTTTGTCTCGCAGTCCCATTTTCCAATTACAATTGTTCGTAGAACAGTCTACTTTTGTTTAGACAGTGATGCATTCCCAGATCACTGACCACCAATTCTGAGTGATGAAGTGTGTTGTTTGTAATTTCAGGTATCCAGGAAATAAACCAAGGTAAGTGAAATGAGGTGACCTAGAAAAGGTGGTCAGTGCACTCGACTGGCGTGGACGTCGAGAGTGTCCGTCAGCATGCATGATTTCAGTGTTCTCATGGTGACCGATTGAGGCAGTATGCCGAAGAGTGAGACACGTGTTCTCAGAGTGACAGTCTTCAAGAAGATCTATTCACAAGTGTCTTCTCGTCTCAAATAATCTACGGTCACTTGTGGAAACGCTTCATTCGCATTTTATAGTGCTACTCGCCACCGACATGTGAGTACACATTTCGACCTAGACAACGATCATGTGACTGTGTGATCTGGTCCAATCTCAACTGTCCAATTCCACTGGCTTCCCTGGCAACTCTCCATCAAGAGCCTGGCAGGCGGCCTTAATGTCTAGCTGGCTGACGAACATGATGACGGAGGTGACAAATTCACTGATTCACACATCACAACACGTGTTGTGGTGAATGCCCGACACTCAATGTGGCCACACGTGTAGAGGGAGACACACAACACCTTGAAATATTTGAACCGACTACCTCATATTTGTCTCTGAATACTCAGAGCATTTGGCGAGTGTCACTTTGCGAATTTGTCAGCATTTCACTGGACAACCTTCATCGATTGGTATTGTCGTCACTCATGCTTGTTACCTTTTTTCGTTAATTATCCCAACTAAACAGCGTGCCAACACAGAAACCAGTGTAAGTATATTCTCATCTGCTGATATCTGTCTCTGATGCTTACCCTTCCTTGAGCTTGAGCATATCTCGTCAGACAGGGCTTTTGATGACACAGAGAATTGCGACGCACACTGCGTCAGTGTGCATGCATGACTGATGTCATTTTGTCGAGTGAAAGTCTTACAGTCACCTATTGACATATTCGTCCGGTGATTCCTACTTGTGGGGACCTCCTGTTTGCATGTGGAGATTCTTGAGGGGTGAAGAACTCACCTGTCACCGGCAGACGAATGTTGTTTATTAGTTATACTCAGACGTGTTTGTAACTTTTATTAGTTTTCTTCCGTTGTCTTTTTTTTCGATGTGGTGTGCATCTGTTTGTTTTTGTTTTTTGTTTTAATGCTTTTGTTCAGTTTTTCCTTGGATTTATTTTCTGTGAATAATTTTTCCTTTTCTTTTTTTGGGTTTTTTTTGTCGGTTTCTTTTCCGTTCCTTTTCTTTGACTTTTTCTTGTTGTCTGTTGTTTTTATCGGCCGTGCATTGTTTAATTTGCATGTTTGTGTGTTGAGCGCTTATGGATTTTTTCGATCGTTTGTGGCATGGATTTTTTTGGAATTTCTTTTTAGGTTAGTTTACCTTTTCCGTTTGAATTTCTTCTGCTTTTTGTTGCGTGAATTTTTCGTTGTTTTATTTTTTAAAATCTGCATTGATTTTAAATTTGTGCTGTTTTGGCTGTTTGTATTTTGAAATTTTTTTTAATTTTTTTTTTCTACTCTTCAATCTTTTGTATCAACGAATATTTTTGGGATTTATACTTGTTACAGCTTGGCTGGTGATTCGGACATTAACGCGTAGCCATTGTGTTTGAAGACGTTGAGTTTTTTTTTCGTCTTGTATTCAGAGAATTTCGGTTTTTGAAGTGACCATAGTCGAGTTTATTCAAGTTTACGAATAAGGCATTTTTCATAATCCCATTGAACATCTTGTATATCCTTTATCCATTCAAAATCCAACTCATATAATTTTATACAATAAGGTCACTTTGACGTTACAAATATTTTCATAAGGTTATTTCCATCAGATTAGTTTGATTAAATACGTGGCTTAACCCATGAATGATCCTGAAAAAATTTTTTTTAATTCAATTGAAAACAGCTTATTTAGATTTTTTTCAATTTCACTGTGATTCTGATGCAATGTTTTTTGTTACTAAGGAATCTATCTCAAATTTCCTATTCCCTTGGGATGATTGCTACAGATATTGTTAGAATAATTGAGACTGTATATTCTTCATGCTTTTGAACTGTATTCCATTCACTTTATTATTGGTGTGATTATCTTAGAATTCTGTTTTCATCTCATACTGGACATTATAGAATAACAGTCAAATGACCTGTAAACAGAATCTGTTTAGATCGTTTTTACTGCATTGTATACTGAGATTTTTCTTCAAAGAAAAATGTTAGATTTATTTCATTTGGTTCAGTGTAGTAAACAGAATGGTTTCTTAAAAATTGAAAAAGTGTTTGAGTATTTTGAAATATAGGCTGATAGTAGTCTTTTTGGACAGCGTATTGTTATCCAAGTGTCAGGAACAACAGTAATATCAGTGAGCCTTATCCATGTAGTTTCTCTTCTATACAAGCCAACACTTATTGTTTTGGGTGTAAAGTCAAACTCTAAAGAATCCGTTCAAAAGTAAAGTTCCCCAAATGTAATTTATACATTTGTAAAAATATTATATGATTTTGAATGCTTTTCAGCCTCTATTTGCAAAGTGTTGTTTATTTAACTATAGTCAGTCAGTGAATAAGAACCAGTGAGTAAAATGATGAAAATTGTGTAAACGTCGTGATATTTATTAATCCTTTTAAAAGTGTACCCACGAACTATGCTCTACTATTTCCATAATTTTAATGAAAACTATCGGTGAATAGATATTTGTGCATGGATATTTTTTCAGTGAATATCGTTTCTAGAAATGAAATACAACGGCAGTAATAACTTCCACTGACAAGTATTGTGCGTAGAAATGTTCAACGTGCTGAATTCCGTTCGATTCAGCTATCTCAAACTAGCCTCCGTAAATAATTAGCTCATAGCTGACAAATATCTTTTTGGTTTATCTAGATCTATAGATTCACTTGTTTGCTGTCAGTATGAGGCCAAGAACTTCATCAACATTTTTTTAACTTGAGCAGCAGATGTGGTGTGGTACTTAATATTTGAAGGCGAAAAAGTAAAGACCGGCCTTGATTTTGATTCACTAACTAGTGTATAATAATGAAACATGTTTCCTTTAGTATACGATGAGAAAAAACGTAGTTTCTTATTTTGACTAACCATGGCATTCTTACAATGAAATTGAGAAAGAATGGTTTAATTTCACCACATATTTTTAAGGTACAACCTTAAAATTTAGACTGTAAACCACTTATATCTCTAATCCATCCTTTATAATGATTAGTAAACAATTACCAGTCTATCATTTACAGTACTTTAAATATTAAAGTTTAATACATTATGCATGTAAGCTTAATGTAAACTTACAGAAGAGTATTTGTCTATAATTTGCAAATTATATTTCTTTCCGCCTATTTGAAATTGTTCAAGATTCGCTTATTATTATCACTGATTAAGAGTTTGAAAGCCAGATCACTTTTTTGTGCTTGAATGTTTGAGTGGAAGTTTTATTTTCACAGTACTCAGTAGTTGATTAATTAAAAATATTGTATTAAAAGTCGTTATCATTAGTACCTTGAACATCATTGTCTTCTAGACAATACCATTAGCACTAACTTCAGTATGAAGTGAGCTGTCAGTGTCTCTCTGGGAATGATTCACTAGCTTGCGATGACAAATTGGTTTGTGATTCGATGTTTCCCTTGTTTATTGTGTCATTGACTGGATAGATCTTGTTAGCATATTCCCTGCCTGACCTCTGGCTTTTTTGTTGTTTATTATTATTCTTATTGGTTGGTAGACTCCGTCTGTCTTTGAACCTGCTGACTGCTGGTTGGTCTGGATGCCAAGATTCTCGAATTTCTCTGATATTCTTTGTGTTTCCTCTGTCCAAAATTTCTACATTGTCGAAATTTAATCCATCTCCATAATTATCCATATGCATTGAAATGAGTGATGAAATGTCTTGACGTTTAATGACCAATTGGTGTTCATGTAGACGAAGGTGAAGAGGGCGACCACTTTGTCCAATGCAGTTTTGACAAGAGTTATTGCAGTTGACTTTGTAAATGACATTCGGTTTGTCTTCTCTGGCTGTTTCATCCTTTGGTCCACATGATACGATTTGGAGGGAATTTGATGGTTTATGAGACACACCAATTCCAAATGGTCTCAGTAATCTTGTTGTGATCTCTTATATATTCTATATGTATGATAGGGTGATGCGTTTGTTGATTTCTGTCGATGACTTTGCAGCTGATGATGTACGGGATAGGCATCTTCTGGTAAAGTCTCGTGGGTAGCCGTTCTTCTTTAGGATGGACATCAAGTAATTTTCTTCATTTCTCCGTGAAGTTGTTGTACTGCAGTGTGTTCTCGTTCTTTTGAATGCAGTCTGCACTCAACTGAACTTACACGTTGTTGGGTTATTGCTACTGTATTTCATGATTTGATCAGTGTGCGTTTGCTGCCTGTACACATGAGTTTCTGGTTTTCTGGAGATAATTGTACTGTATGGAACATCCAGGAATGATATTTGGTTACTGGACTCATTCTCCATTGTGAATTTGATGTCACTGAGAATGTTGTATACCGAACTGAAGGTGTTTTCAAAACCATCATTTTTAATGGTAACAAAATTATTGTCCACTGAGTGGATCAAAATTTTTGGCTTGGTAGCAGGTTACATGATGGCTTCCAGTCTCTACATCACTGCTTCTGCAACTGATCAGGATATCGGTTATCCTATTGGATTTCCTTTCATCGGTTTGTTCATCTTTTCACTAAATTGGAAGTATTTTGTCAAACAAAAATCAATGATTTCCATCAGACTTGAATATTTAGGTTTTGTGCTTTCTAAAAGTGTTTTGTCTTCAGTCAAGAAGAGATAGTATCTTTTTCCAGTTACGGTTCGGTTGACATGTATATCGCGATGAGATGTATATATGACGTCGTAGGATATCATTATTCGGTGTTTTCTATATATTATTAAATTTGATCATTTCTAAGAATTCTACTGGTGATTTGATGGAATGTCCGCTCGGTTGCTTACGTTATTTCATTTTCCTCGAATCTCTCTGGATAGATTGTAAGTTGGAGTTCTTGGAAGCGAAAGTGTTAGTAGTAGAGACTGTTAGCTTTGTGTAGTTTCTGTTTGCCGTAGAACCGAGGAAGGCCAGGTGTGTATGATTTCAGTCACTTTTCTATATCCTTCGCTTTGTGGAGCTTGTTCTGGGTTTCGTTGATCTGGCTGTCAAACCTTTGGATACAGTTGGTTTCAAGTGGTTGATACACATTTTTGCATTTTAGTAAATTCTCTGCCTTCTTGAAACAGTGTCACTCGTTTACACGACCGTGGTACGTCCTTTTTCTGCTGGAAGTACAACTATATTTTTCCTACTCTTCAGTCTTTTAATGCTTTCTGTTCTTAAGCGGTCATCCGAGCAAAATATCTCCATCGTCTTACTTGCGATACGATTGGTTACCGTATTTCTTGTTGTATGTGTTTACTTTTATACTGATATTTAAAGCAAGAATTCCAATGTAGCAAAGAATCCTGATTTCTTGGCATCTCCTTTATTGTAATTAAAGTTTTTCTGAAGTTCTTCCACTTTTGTCAGTGCTTCTTTTGAAAGGTTGCCAACCTAGTCGTTTGTTTCCTCCAGTGTGCATGCTTCTGGAATTTCCCCAGTTTTTTGGCGCTTTTTACTTGCTATTCGTTGTATCGCTTGCTTAATTTTTCAGTCGCCGTTTTTAACGTTACCACATGTGTCATAAGTTTGCTTTCTAGCTTTCTCTTTCGATTGTCAGTCATAATATGAATCTGTGATCATCAATCTCATCATTTATCTTCCAGCTTGTTCAGTTGTTTTTCACTCCATTGAACAGTCAGTTGGTCGCTTACATGTGAAACTTTTCGGCAGAACATCTTGATGTAGGTACTCATGTAGAAAGGATAGTTATTCTCTTATGGAAGCTTACCTCTTAAAAACGTTCTCTCATCTTCAAACAACGCGAAGCATGTGACGCTTGTGTGGTTTTGAAATGGTGAGAACTGCTAATGAATTTTCGTGCACCAGATTTTGTGATTTGGCAAAGGATGTTACTATGTACTGTAGCAGTAAAAACCATTCTTCATGCGACTTGACTTGCAACCTAACAAGGACATTTATATCCCTTGAACAAAACAAATTACTGTCCACTTGGCTTTTCAGTAGTGACGTTTATACTGAAGTGTTTAGTCAGTATTGCCACGTAATATATTATTGCAAACTACTTTAATGTAAAAACTTTTTTGGTGTTAGTATCAAACTATATTTTCAAACACACGAATTGCGTCATTCACAAGTCTTGCTCATCATATGCATATGAATCTATGGATTATATATTGTATGCTTCTGCAAGCGTGAAAAATCTAATTACCAAGTAAACCTAAGAACCAATTTATTTTAATGAGTATGATAAGGTACTTAAGGTTCAACTGATGTTAATTACATAAAAACTGTGTATCACACATAACCAAGCAACTAATCCATTTTATTAGTTGGTTCGAGGAAATGTAAGTTCTAGTTTTTACGACTGTATACCTATTCGACTGAGTGTTTAGGTAGTGTTACATTTTTTGTCCACTTCTGATCTTACTGTATATTTGTTCACTACAGATATGTTCAAATTTAATTTTTTCAGAAACTGTTATTTATCCTTCCCAGAGACAGCAAAATCAAAGAATTTTACACCAACTTATAGTAAGATAAATACAGGGTTCGTTTGTCCACTGACTTTATTCTTTGATGTTGCAATCACCAAGTGGATGGAAAACGCCAGTCATTGCATTGCACAAAAATATTGAGTAAAATCTAGATTGAAATTGTTTTAAGCAATTTTATTATACCACTTAAGATTTCAGTGGACCGCATCTCCAGGCACCTATCCAATAACTATTACTTATTTACCTAACAGATATAATGGAATGAGTACTCTAAGTAGCATTTCGTCTGATAGTGGAAGGCGCAGGCTAGAACTAAGATTCGAAGTTTACTTACGGATAAGCTTTCTCGTTTAAAATTCCCCTTAAGCATTTATTCATAAAATCACTTTAACTGCTGATACAAGTTACATCTGTACCTAACTTACTGCTTTTTACCTACAAGGTTGCGACACTTTATCATATAACTTCGCTCGCATACCCCACTAACATGTGTTTGAAAATCAACACTTAGATAAGCCATTTACTCAGTGAGCGGGTTATATTCATACTCATTGGAAATGAAGATTAACTTCCGATTTAGAAGAATTGAACCTTATCCCTGCTACTAAATTAAAATGCATTTGCTTCACATACTTCATCAGAAAGTGTATTTATCTTTAACCTGTGGAGTTTTAGGTCATTTGAAGTTGAATCGAAATACAAATATTGCAAATCCATCTGTTTTAAAAATGGAGCCAGATCTAAAACTGTTCCATGCCCAATGAAACCCTTCTATTGAACATTAGAACAAATGGTTTAGAAAACGTATAACAACACTTGCGTATAAGGTAGCCGACGAATAATCAAAGTGCGACAAAATAAAGTTTTTGGGTTTGACTTGATGGGCTCTTCTTACCAGCTAAGAAATATTTCCTTTTCAGAATTTCATTATCAAGCTGCATAGTCATATTTATAATCAGTAAAATGTCAGATAAATGTTCAGTCAATATATCCGTGATTCACTTGTTGGTAAAGGTGGAATTTGTACAAATGGAGGAAATAAGTAATGCATCATTGGATAAAGAACTATTCGATTTCTAAGTGGTGAAATAAAGATCAAGTGCTGTCAAAAAAGTATAAAATGATAATAATTAGACAAATATAATATTTGAGGTGAACCCAAATTGACAAACTAACCAAAATAAAATGCCTAACCCACAACAGAAAAAGGAGTTTCAGAAAGCGCTTTTGAATTCACAGTTTTGACTAGTGAAGCTAGTGCTTCATCTATACACAATCGATGGAAACGTTGACTTTGGAGTAGTTCAATTCAACTTTGTAAATTACGCTAAAGGATGAATCTCGAGGAGCTAGCTAAATGACCTAACTCCAACAGGTGTTCAAATGCAGATACTGTTTTTCTTGGCTCAACTTTGATCAAACAAACTGTATATTATTATGTAACGCACTTACATTGTCTATTGTTGTCAGCTCCACAGTAGCATGTGAATTTTCAGCTGCACGTAGATGTGGACAAAAGCGGAAACCCATTCTTCATGCATTGTTGAATCAGAAGAAAGCTCTAGAATATCAACATCAGCCTAGCGAAATTAAAGGTATTATTCATAAACAGACAGATTAAGCTTTAACACAGCTGATAAGAATTTCATTCAGAACTGTAATAGGGTGATTAACCATTTTTTTCTTTAATTTTCATGAATAAACCTTCTAGTTTATTCATTAGTAAATATTATTGTTCTGAGTTTCACTTTCAAAATCCATCATGTATTCTCAACAGATTTTTCGAATTCTGGAAAACAGTGATTGAATGAGATTTTTATTTCTATCAAGAGGCACCTAACCATAAAAGCTGATGAACTCACGAGTCCGAATTCGTTTATGATAGGATGACCTTTGCAGTGGAACATCCTGTTTTCTTTTGAACATCTCGTCTCAGAAGTGAAACGTTGAATTCAGTTCTTCTTCTACGGTGAATTTTACAGACGGATGGTAGTCACTGGATTGTCCAAGTAGTTTATCAGCCAAACATGTTTCACAACGAATAAGAGAAGTACAGTCTATTTACTTTTTATGCAGACAAATTTCTGAGGTTATTTCTTTTATTGAGTCATTTTCAAAACTTACCATGTTGATGTTAGTCAGAAAGGAGTTTAGTGGAGATTTTATTGCTACTCCGTTTGTCTGATTATGTATCATATCGTTATATCTGAACTGCATATAAAACGTACATCCTAATATCAGCTCCATTAGGTAACTGGTTGATAATCTAGCACTAATATTACTAAACTAAATGTAGTCGTATAGATAACAAGTCGTTTTGAGGGACGAAAGATTCGTAAACAAAGAAGAAACTTCAAGTGATGTCATATGATTGCCAGTTACCTTGATTTCTTCGATAAGGCAGATGAAACCAAATGTATTGGGAAGACTGTATTTGTACAGATTTAATATCACTGGTTCAAGAATCTCAGGAAGCCAGTTCACCAATGAGTAATTAAGAAATTTGCCAACTGCTTCAACACTACGGGGTACCACAAACCTTGATCAACCTCATTCAGCAGCTATGAAGACGCCACTCGCCGAGTGATTCACGATGGAAATCTCAGTGATGCCTTTGAAGTCTTTACAAGTTTTATAACCTTGTTATTTATTATTTCTAACAGTTGCATCTGAGATGCTTCGATATCATTCCCCGTTTTCTATAAGGCGTAATGTAATAATGTAGACTTGAATCATTTAAAGTCTCTTCAGAAAGTCAAGAGGAAATCTTGAATCTAACTGATAGGGTTTTCGAATTGCACTTTTGCACCAAACTCATTGGTTTTAATGAAGCACAACAAAACCTTGGTCCAGAGAAAAAATCTACATCTAAATGTTAGACAGCGTTATATTGGAGTAACTGGTGGTTATCTCTCAGACAGATTAGGGAAATTTCCATATGACTCATCAATTTTAAAGCTTTTCAATAATTTAATTCTTGGGTCTTCTGGTCACTTCTTAATCACTTCTGACACAGTTTTCAAATGAAAAAAGTTCTTTGCTCATTTATTCTTAAAAAATGGTCTCGTTGAGAAAAATTTCTCTTTAGTTAATGAAGGCGATCTTTGATGAAACATAAGGGAGAGTGGAAACACACCTACACTGAATAATATCCACTCAAGAAATGTAAAGCAGAGATGAATGAACCTGTAAAATCGAATTCATTCAGGAACCTTACATATGCAGTGAAAGTCTAGTTAAGTAGCTTCAAGCTAGATAGTTGATACAATTTGGTACAATCATAGTGAATGAGTCTTTGAAGTCAATATTTCTGAAAACAAAAAGCTTTAGTGATGTAGCCATCCTCAAATTCAAAGTCTGTCTAGTTTCTGTAACTATTTTATCGTAGATTTTTAAGTTCAGTTCTCTACAGATTTTATTATTTTTTGAAAACCAATATTCCCACTAGATTCATGAACGAAAAGCCTTAGTAAGTGAATAGACATTAGTATGATATTTTTGTTCTAAGTGCTTGAAATTTACTACCAATATCCAAATTAGGCATATAATTTATTTACTAATAATTCATATTAGAGTTCATATGAGTAAAACCCTATACTTTAACTTTTACAGCATTCCTCTTTGGTTGATCAGGTTAGTTCGCCTTTCACCGTAATGGAATTTGTGGAACTTACTAGACCATTATCTGAGTGCTGAATTAGTAATCTAGGACAGATCCTTTGCTCTTTATCCCAAATCTAATTTGGAAAACCAGATAATCCTGAGAAAAAATTAATTTCACCAAAGACTATTCGAATGCATATGTGAATGCATACTCCCTGGATTCAATGTTCAAACCCTAAAGTGATAAATTAAAACGTCAGTGAAACTGATTATTTATTATTATTATTAGTCCCATGGGTACCTAGTGGAAAGTACAGCCTCAATAGCACACCGTCACTTCACTCTGTTCTATGCACCCTTTACAACCTGGCTCCACCACTGCCCACTAGCTTTCATTCCTTACTCACGTGATCTCCTCCGTGTTACCCTCGCCTCCGACGCCCATTTCGTCGTTCCACTTTTGGGTTCTATCGTGACCCTGGCCTGATGCGTGATGTCCCCAAACCATCTTCTCAGTGTATGCCCAGTCCAGTCCATCTCCACTTTCTTCTGCACATCTGTTGGGTGATGGGTTCTCAGTTGGTTCGTTGCCAGCAACAGTTCCTTGTTGCCCATTCTTATTATTCTGGCCATCTGATCCCTATCTTCAGTATCGAGTGAGCGTAGGCGGCAACTGTTCACGCATGTTTGTAGTTTGTTGGAAATGCTTTTGGTAACGCGCTAAGTCTCCCAGCCATCACATGGAAGCACTGACTTGACTGACATTGGTGTTGGAAATCCGGATCCTGTTCATGCTTTATGCTGAATGGAGTGCAGTACATTGCAGTATATCTCCACACTGATTTCAGCTTCATGAAGACCTGTCTTGCTGTCTTTCCGATGTTGGCTTCGACATCCTCACCTGTGCCGCCTGTAGTTGAAACTATGCTGCATAGGTAGGTAGGCAGGTAGGCAGGTGAAACAGACAACTTCTTTCAGATTTCTTTGGTTGATGGTGCTTGGTGCTTGTTGCTGTTGTTGTGGTTGGTTGGGTGTCTTCATCACCTCTGTCTTCTCTGTAGTTACTTGAAGTCCCGTTCTCGCTGTCTCGCTTCTTCTGTCAACTTGTTGGTTTCCGCCTGTAGATCTTCGAGTTTGTACGACAAGATATTAGACATAAATCATCATGGGTGAAGTCCAAATCTCCTTCTGGGATCTTATCATCCGTCAAGCAGCGTATGCCTTTCTTCTCGCTCCTCACTGTTTGCCGTGTGATCCAGTCTAGTCAAGTTGACCACAATCAGGAAGATCATGGTTGATAGTAAGCAAAATTGTTTTGTCTTACGCCTGTCCCCAGTCTTCATTTCAAAGACATCACCCAGCTACCCATTGTGAATCACTCGGCATGTAGCATACTCACATCACATAAAGCTGCTGTTGAATGAGGTTGACTAAGTTATGTGGCACTTCGTAGAGCAGAAGCAGCTGCCAAATTACTTCTCGGTCGATGCTATCGAAGGTCTTTTCGAAGTCGATGATGTTGAGGTAGAGTTGACTGCCATTCTATATTTTGTTCTATGATGATGTGTAGCGTAGCATTGCAAGTTGATCCGCACATGGTTTGTTCTTCCTGAAGCCTGCCAGCCAGCCTTTTCCGGTCATTATTTTGCATCCCCGACGTGATGCAAATTGTCTGCGAAAACCATGACTGCAGGCGTATTCAAATAAGCTTTTCAACACTGGGTAGGGATATACAAAATAACACTTCATGTGATGCACGAAATAAGATTTACATTCTTTTCACTTATTGTCTTGTTATTAGAAGAATATGGATGCAAGGTAGTTGGTGTAACTTGTGTAAAACCGGAAATATTTATCCAATGCATAAGCTAGATGTGCATTATAAACTGATAGTTGAGGTAGTGAAATGACTGTCGTTCGATGCTCTGTTTTATGATGATGTGTAGCGTAGCGTTGCAAGTTGATGATGCGGCTTAGTTGTATTGTGTTCTCTGAGCTGCGTTGTTTAGTCATGAAACATTCATCGTTTTTCTAGACATCATCAGCACTATAACTTCAGTATGAAGTGAGCTGTCAATATTTCTCCGTCAGTGATTTGGTATCTTACCTTTGCGAAGTGGTCTGTGATTGGTTGTTTCCCTTGATTGTTGTGTCATTGACTGGATTGACATTCTCTGTTGGCTGTCCCTTTGCTTGAACTCTAACCATTCTGTCTTTTATCACTTTTCTTATTGGTAGATATATTGGGTACACTTCTATACATCTGACTGACCTGAATACCAATTTTCTAGGAATTCTCTGATATTCTTTGTGTTTCCTCTGTCCAAAATTTCTACATTGTCGAAATTTAATCCATCTCCATAATTATCCATATGCATTGAAATGAGTGATGAAATGTCTTGACGTTTAATGACCAATTGGTGTTCATGTAGACGAAGGTGAAGAGGGCGACCACTTTGTCCAATGCAGTTTTGACAAGAGTTATTGCAGTTGACTTTGTAAATGACATTCGGTTTGTCTTCTCTGGCTGTTTCATCCTTTGGTCCACATGATACGATTTGGAGGGAATTTGATGGTTTATGAGACACACCAATTCCAAATGGTCTCAGTAATCTTGTTGTGATCTCTTATATATTCTATATGTATGATAGGGTGATGCGTTTGTTGATTTCTGTCGATGACTTTGCAGCTGATGATGTACGGGATAGGCATCTTCTGGTAAAGTCTCGTGGGTAGCCGTTCTTCTTTAGGATGGACATCAAGTAATTTTCTTCATTTCTCCGTGAAGTTGTTGTACTGCAGTGTGTTCTCGTTCTTTTGAATGCAGTCTGCACTCAACTGAACTTACACGTTGTTGGGTTATTGCTACTGTATTTCATGATTTGATCAGTGTGCGTTGCTGCCTGTACACATGAGTTTCTGGTTTTCTGGAGATAATTGTACTGTATGGAACATCCAGGAATGATATTTGGTTACTGGACTCATTCTCCATTGTGAATTTGATGTCTTTGAAGATGTTGTTGAATAAACTAGGGACATCAAGATAGGCACTGGAAATCTCAGTGTGCTCGTGGTTTTTGTTTGGGTGACAATATCAGACTGAATTTTGACTCATCTCTAGTTGACATTTTGGACAGTCCACTTCCATTCTATCTGCAGATTCCTCACAGATTCCTAGCACTTCTATGTTATTGTAATCTGTCATTTCTTTTGCAATTTGGGTAGCCTTGCCAGCCAGCCAGCTTCAAACATCGTGCGAACTTTCCATGTCTCTAAGCTTACTTTTCCTTTCATCGAGGGAGAGAAGTCACACAGGCCAATTGGCTTCCCGGGGACTCTCACCAACCGGCGTCATTTCGTTTCCACGATTACAGAGAAGAATAAGTTTGTTTTTAATATTTCCTCCCGTCTTTAAATTTTCTTTTGATTTTCCGGTATGGGTTTGATAGCCATATGCCCAACTTTCCCTCTTCATCCGGACTTAGGACTGAATCGTGGAATACTTCGATGACTTTTAGCCATAATGACTACAACACTTCTTCACGGAAGTCCATGAAAGGATAAAAAGACGACAAAGAACTAACTGGATTTCAGTTATCATTAAACTTATGCCAATTTCTAAGATGATTTGTTGCTAAGTTCATACCTAGTTTATCGAACAGTTTTCATTTCACAACGGGTTATTGGGAAATAGAAATCCTCAGTAATGTCGATATGTAAATTACTTTATGATTAATTTTGTTGTTCGATCGTTTACTCCATTTTAAATCTTTTCTTCATTGTAGTCCGTTTTACTACTTTCAACAGTAAGCTTGAATGCTTGTTATATATTTTATACTCATAACTAAACTGCTCATTAGTTAAAACAGAAAAGTTATGTAAGGTAAGAATTTAAAAGATAAGTGAGTAACATGATACGTCTCAAATTCAAGAACTTTTTTACTGAACTAATCAGTTGATACTCCAACCTGAAGAATGGAAGTACAGTCATAACAACTACCTCAGTATGAAGTACTTTGCATCTAAAAGAAAAGATAAATAATTAGAAGAAATTATACTTCAAACCACACTAATCATCTGATATAACATATTGTGATACAGCTCATTTAATGGGCTACATTTTGAGCGCAATTTATGCAATATGTTTATTCAGAACCTTGCAGAAGTGTGAATCTATTCAAGTTATTGTATCTAATTGTAAAAGAGAAACAGAAGACTGATAGGAGCGTAAAAATAATTAGTAAAAGCGGGAAAAATTGCATATTGATGTATTTGTGGCTTCAAAAAACGCTAGTAGTGAGTACTTCAGAGCCAGTGCCATCCATTAAAAGCCATTTCAAACAAGTTTAGACGTTTTTTTATGACATGCCGTATATACACCTAGGGAGCATGTTTTACTGCAACGCGATAACAGGGAGTTGATATCTCCCTTTATGGATTTCTTATTTAAATCTGTCACAGTAGCATTTCATGCATTACACCCAACCATTGGCATACTGATTTTATTTAAACCTCAAATAATTCATAAACACAGTTTATTTGCATTGATTGGTCACCGGACAGCAACTAATTTCATGTTGTCTAGTCTTGAGTGCTGACCAAATTCTTTCGATTATTGTGGAATGTGGCCAACAAGCTAGCAGTCCTCCAACTAACTAACATCTGTCAACGTACACCACGATGGTGACTTTCCTAGCTTTTGGTCACATTGCAAAGTGATGGATAAAGTCCGGCCACCAGTCAGGGCCGGACAGCATGAAAATTGGTTGCCATTCAGTAACCAATCATTGTATGTAGATCAGCCCTACAGAATGTTAATCATGGCCCGAATACCTCAGTGGAAAGGTCACTCACTACAACACTGAATGGAGCAGTTTTGGATCTCAGAGGAAACATTGGTTCCCTAGAGGTCGCAGATACGCCATGCTGACGAGTTCCAGCATACTCGAAACCTAGGTCCAGGACCTCCTGCTAATCGCCTCCAACCAAATAACAGTAGTTTAAAGCAACTGGTCCCTTTAATAAATATAAACAGCGTAGTGCGAAGACGAAGATCCTCTGAAACATCTGATATATTCGCTCTGTATATTTCCAACAATCTGATCACACATGGACTTGTCGAACTGTTTATATGAAAATTTAAAAGAGGAGTCAATGAAGTCAGGAAATAATTTATATTACCAAACTAAAGACTGATAAAGGATTGGGTGTGGTACTTATGAACATGTCTGATTATAAAAGTAAGATGTTATCCATTTTCAGTGATGAAAGCTAAATTACGTCAGATGTCCGTTCTGAAGGAATATGTTAACTGGAAGTGATAGTAAATTTCAGACTGGTGATAATGCTCGGTATGAATTTAATCAATAAAGATGAATTCGATTATCTAAAACCTATTGGGTTTGAACATCTACATGCATATGGGTTAGCGAAAGCTCGTAAACCTGACGATCTACCACATCCAACATTGTCTCTGTGTCGATCACCCACACATAATCTAGCTAAATGTTTGGAAAAGCTCTTGAGTCCTGTCAGAAGCCATTTATGCAGGTGCTGACTGAAAGATACATTTGACCTTGTTGACTGTTTAAGTGACATTAATATCAAGGATAAGACTATGTACTCATTAAATATAAGTTCTTTATCTACTAATGTTTCTCTGGTTAAGACAATTGATATCTTATGTGGCTATATTTCTCCTAACAGTTTTATATTCCGTATCCCTCTTTATTTTTTAAAAGATTTATTATCATTATGAACTGACAAAGTTGAATTCACATTCCAGAGTGAATACTTTCAACAGACTGATGGCGTCACGATGAGTAGTTCATTAGCAGCGTTGTCAACCGATGTACACATATCATATATTAAAAACTTGGTTGACGATCTTATCGAAAGAAGCATATAGATGACAAAGTCATTATATGTGAAAAATCTGATGATGCGATGTGCCTGCAAGAGAAGATAAATATGGTTCAAAATCATACTAGCCTTGCTTGTGAACAAGAGGACAAACATCAATCGTTCCCAGACATATTGCTTAATCGGTGGGAGGATGGCTTGATCAGGAGGTCGATCTATAGGAGGCGTACATGGACAGGGCAATATCTTAATTTCCATAGCTATTACCCAGTCCAATATAAACGCGATTCAGTTAGGTGCTTATTCAACAGGATAAACCGTATCTGCACCGTTGACACCAGGGAGAAAGAAACCAACTTACTGATAACAACACTGATACAGAATTGCTACCCGTTGAAATTTATCGACAGGCGCAAACGTTATACTGCATTGAAAAGTACACAGTGTTCCCTTGCTAAGAAAAATGTCTACATATCATTACCATTTAGAGGTGATTCACATAGCTTTGTTGTAAGGACAAGACTTAGATCGGCCATCTGTAAGACGTACTATGCAGCTAAGGTCATCATTGTAGAGAAGACCAAGTCCATGTTACAGCACAAACCGAAACAACATATAAACGATTACATCATACCCCACTGTGTTTATCAATTTACATGTATGTGTGGACACACATACATAGGGAGGAGTTATCATGATATTCAGTTAAAGACAGTTGGACATGTACCTAAGTAACTTCAAAAACAAATGACCTCAACAAATCCGACATATGCAGGTGATAAACATCCATCGTATATAGCCAGACACATGCTAGGAACTAGCCACAGGATAGACATGAAAATGGCTTCTAAAATACTACATAAAAGTGGTCAGGGCAGAGTGCTCGAACTTACTGAAGATTTTGCCATCCATAAATTCAAACCCCTTTATGTATGCAAAAACAATTTTTACTCACTTTGAACCTACGTTGGTGGTATTGATTTTAATTTTCATACTAAGAGTAACGTGATTAAGGTCTTGTTTTCTCTCTGCCGTTTCTATTCCTATTTTTCCTATTGACTTGATTGACACTTTTTGTAAATTTTCATATGAATAGTTTGACAAGTCCATATGTGATCAAATTCCGAAATGTATAGCAGTAGCTTAATTTGCCTACATGCTACTAACACATGGATTATACCTATGTCAACCGCGTCTGCTCATTAAACGCTTACATCAGAAATGACCACCGGGATGGAACAAAAGCAAACATTATTGTAGTAATGAGCAGGTTTACTGACAGCTATCTGTTTCGCACCACAATAAAAATGTTACCACGTCAGATTCAAAATGACCACTATTTCGTTCCATACACATAGACTAGAACTGTAGACTCGTAATGAGCAGGTTTCTATTCATTATTACTATAAAGTTTGCTTATTTCTTATTTTAATGGTTATTTCTAATGTTGACGTTTAATATGCAAAATCGTTATAGGTATTTACTACTTACTCAGTTCCTAACTCACAATGAGGCAAACAAACTTTAGATATTTAGAAAACAAACAACTTGGGTGGAAAAGTTTTTTCAGTGGCTTTGTACTAACATATAGCATGTTCAAAGTATAAAATAACATACCATTTTAGTGGTGATAAGGTAGTTAATAACAGGTTTTCAGCCAGATGATAATCGTTTTTTCAAGATGTAGAATGAATACAGAGTAAAATTGTGGAAGTTAAGACAGGATGTTACACAATTTATATTTTGCATCGTAGAGATTGAAAATGGAGGATGAATGATAATGTTCGGTAGTAACGGATTAATTGAGAGACCTAAACGGAGACGAACAATATAGCCTAAACTCTAATAACAGTAATAATACTAGTGACCACGGTAGTTGTTTATCAGGAGAACGTGGAGAAGGGTTATCTTTTCAAATATAAGTTATACATATGGTCAAGGCAAAGAAAGGGGCTCTACAATTTTCCTTAGCACATAAGCTGAACTTTTTAGGTGGATCTCAGTGGTTTCTGTCGTAAATAAAAATTAAATTCGTAGAGCATGGTCATTTGAGTTTCTTGGCTCACACCTGTTTGTTACCTAAATAAAAGCTATTTCAACGAGATTTAGAAATTAGTTTTATTCCCCTTCAAATCTTTCTACACATCTGATTGACCCATCACTATGTTTCACCTTTATCTTTGTATTTTTTATTTGTTGGCTTGGCTTGTAATATGTTTGTATAGGTCCGCGTATTACACAGAGATATAAATGCCTGGGTGTATGAACTATTCAGAAGTGGGTTTTAGCGATATTTACGAAATGAGTTAATCCGTGTTTATTCCTTTTCTTTACTTGTTTTGTGCGACAAAAACCATCAAAGTATAGTCTTAAATTTAGTTGATTTTTTGTTTTGTCGCCTGATCCTTTATGATGCAATGAGTTTTTCACGAGTTGAGCAATGAAATAGTCCCCAAAGAATTGACATTCACACTTTTTTGGATGTGTAACTTGTTGAATAAAATTGTTTTGAGCGTACTGAATGACAATGTTTCTCTTGTTTTCCAGGACTTATTTGTCGGTGTTTTTGTAAGTTCGGAATAGTTTTGAATTTTCTCTGTACATTTTGTTTAAGTGAATGTAACTGGGGCTTTTTGTCAATGCGTTATCACATAGATTCCAACGAAGTCTGATAACAAATGTCAAAGATTCCTACAACATATTCTAAACTTCTTCATTTTTGACATTTGAGATATATTCCAAAACTAAATTAAGGTGATTCGAGGTAAAGAGATATGGTACAGGCACATTAGTGATTCTCTTTGGAGCTCTTAACATCTCTCTGCTCTTCATCGATTTATTTTGTTCCATTGGAGACTCATACTGAACCAATGCATATGTACGAAGATCCATTTTCTATTATGCTTGCATAAAGAAGTTTTCTAACACCATTTTAATCAGATGAATTATCCATTAGATGGTAGCCTATAAAGCTATCAGTTCCCTAAATTTTAGCACTTACCAAATTCAATTAATCTACTCTGCAGTGAGATCAAAATGTTAGGCAAAACGTCACTATATTAATTGTAATGCAGAACTAGATGTAAGAATCAATGTGCATGAAACCTTAAATTAAGTTTCATTGCTTTTCCTGTAGTCAAAAAATCATGTACATCATCCACTAATGGAAAAAGCAAGTTGCAACCTAAATAACTTAGCTGTAATCCTTCTGACTTTTGAACTGAATGATGCAGTTTGGAATCACTGAGACACTACAAGTTTCCTTATAGCTTCAGACACGCATTTATGGCAAGTACCTGCCAGCATGTAACCTAAGTCTAGGTCTTTCTGCAGACTAACTTCAAAAATCAAACGATGTGTTGATTGAGATGTACTGTCATTTATTCGAAACTGAACTGCATGATTTGACAGGTCTGCTTGCTTGAGTATATATTTATGTTAACTGTTCGGGAACCAGAATTGTCTCCAGAAAAGGATTGTTCGGACCGCCAGAATAAATTATAGACATTGTTCAGGCACATCGATTTAGTTGGGATAAAGTAGGAGATATATATTTTATTGCTCTATTTTAATTGCTTATATCCAAAATCACAAAGCAAACACAGGTCACTAGATGAAAAAGATAGAAGACAACTACCGCAGGGTAGTCTTCCGTTAGAAGAACACACAGCTTTTTATTCATGGTCACATGATTTAAGGGCAAACCATTGAATAATAATCGACAGTTATGAATCAAAATTGGCTGGTTTATAAAAAGACAGACAAAAAGATAATGTTAACATAAGACCTCATATTAGTGAGAAGCGGCTCAAGTGATAAAGCACCAAGATGAAAATTAAAGATTTAAAGAAGAACTAGTCAGAAGCGGTTGGAATTTATCAAAAGAGACTACAGAATAATGAGAGTACTGAAACTCATTATGATGAATAAGATATAGATAATGTGCATATATATCTGCGCCATGGAGACCATGTCGCTCAGTGTCTCCAACCACTGAACCAAGTTATAACATGGAGGCCAACCAGGAAGTCTACATTTACCAACTCGGCTTAGGGCAATAATTAAAGACTTCATACACTGATGCCATGTTTTATTTTACCTACGGTTAACCTTTTTCCAGCTTGAACTTACCTCATTTAATATTGGGCTATGAAATGGACGTTGACTAGGTATGCGTAAAACGTATCACAGCCACCTCAGTCAGTGAACTCCGCAACCTCCTCAAATGAATTTATTGGTCTGCTTGAAACTGTACGCCCGATTTCCAAGTTATTAACGTGGTAGCACACAAAGATGGCCAATGCTACAAAGACGATTGTAGTCAAGAGCCTGAAGCCTGAGTAACCATGTTCCATGGCCTTACAGTAGAACACCAGATAGAGTAATGCAAAACACTAGAACCCCACTAAGTAATCAGGTATCACGGTGACACAAAAAATGCCGCAATTTGGTGAAAGCCAGGAGGGCATCCAGTACCTGTGCAGAGATTTCTTCAATCGCTGACCAACCAACCAGGGCTGATCTGACCTTTCGGGTAAACGAAGTGATCAAAGCACTGAACCACTTCATATATTATCGTTAAACAAGGCAACAGTATGAACACCAGTCATGGAGCAGCAATTCATACTAAGGTGGTGGAAAGCACGCTCTAAACATTCTCAAACCGCCAATCCAGGTGTCCAGTAGACTCAGCATTTTTTTGGCATCTTCACCTAACGGGACTATATCATCTGCGTACACTTCACCTTCTGAAGATTCTCCTATGGCAAGATCAGTCCCTGCAAATTCAGACGGGGAGACACAGACCAACATAATTACGTTTACAATAAAAAATGAACAGAAAATGAGAGGGTGGACATCCCTGAAGTATACCACTCAAGGTACTCAACTCACCTGATAAGTCACCATAGGCTATAAAACTCTCACAGGAGTTTGAATTCAGAACCTTTAAAAGAGTGATATACTTACTCGGCACTCCTTTCAGTGAGAGACATTGCCATAAGATCTAATCGACCTAGTCGAGTACCGCCTTCAGGTCAAGAAAAACGGTCAATGTCCGATATCGACTAGTGTGCCCATGTTCTAGAACCTTGGAAGAGAGAATATCCGGTCAATATGGCCAGGCCTGAAACCTATTAAGTTTTCTCTTGTCTGTTGTTCTCAAGTTTTATTTAGACGTTTAACGACTATAGAACCTGAGACTCTATACACTATATTCTTCAGACTGATTACTCCGTAATTATTATAAGAGGAATTCTTATCTTTCTTGAAGACTGGAATGGTCAGTAATCAAGATTAGTTAGATCATATGCCAGTCAGGATTATATGTCACTCCCAAAGACTAGCTTCACTTCAGTTAATCTGACTTAAATCCTCCATCATTATTGCTAAGTACTCCTAGTACTAGTCCATTTGGTCCTTCTGCTCTTTGTTTTTCTGGTTACCTACCATTTTTCAACTTCTGTAAGTATTGGGAACCCTGTCTTGATGTGGATGAGTCACACATAAATCCTCCTTCATTATAATCTCACTAACCATAGGGGTATTAGCTCTAGTCTCCTTAACAAATCTGAATAATCCCTACTGTTGCCTACCTCCGTGGCCTTTCCCACCTCTTTTAGCCTCGTGACTCACCTTGGATGGCGGTTACTGCGTAGTCTCTTATTCAAGCCACATTTGAGTTGCTTCCGCAAATCATTTTGCTGGGAACCTGCAAGGGTGCATTCGCATGTATCCAGTAGTTCAGAAGAAGCTCCTAAGATCCATTGACCTTTCTACCTATATTCTAGGAGTTGGCTATGGTCTTTAGCACTGTTTTTGCAGCAGACTGGAGATGATGCTGGGCTCTCTCTGTGTGACTGATGCTGTTCTGTACCACTAGCTGTTTATACAATTCCTTGCTGAAAGTAGCTTTCGCATGCTGGTCGTCAATCAGCACTTCCATTCGTCTTCTCGCTGCAGTTTTTCTATGTCCATTTATGAGCGGATATATGCATCCTTATACCAACGCATAATCGTTGTTGAAATAGGTGACCCAGAAGTGGTTGTTATCTTCCACCGATCCATTTCAGAGATAAATAATTGCTGTATGGTCCATCTGTGTACGACGCAAAATTGAGGTCGATGGGTGCCACGTCACACAGTGTCTCTCTGTACATATGGAGTTAGAGCTAGTTAGAAATTTTTGGCTGCCTACACACGGTCACAACAGTTGATTGCCGTTATCCCTTCCCTCGGCTAGGATTCCAAAAGTGTCACTAGAGGAACTGTTTACTTAAAATAAGCTATCCGTTTGTGAATTGAAATCACCTTCCACAGCAACCACGTCTGAACCTTTGACTTTTAGCAAGAGACTAATTAGTTCTCAATAGAACCCATCTTTCACTTCAGCCTAACTGCAGTCAGTGGGTACGTAGGTAGAGTCTAAAAGAGGAAAGTGTGGGTTTCACCACTCTTTTTAGTCCTCACTGCACGATTCAACTGACCACTACATAGGTTACTGACGACCGGAATCCAGTCGAGTAACTGACTTTCATTCTTATCCTTTAATACCATACCTTCCAGATGAGGCGAAGTGAATAACTACACTTGGGTTTTGTAAGCATGCCTCATAAGCCCATCACACACCCATGGCTATGCGTTGACGGAGATTTGGCTGGTAAACTTGCTGGCCTATTTGGTGGTGAGTGTGAACAATGGAAGCACCAATATGTAGTTTAGAGTGAAGGTCCAGGAAGACAGGGATGCTGTTCTGTGAACTGGGATCAAGGGCTATAGAACTGGAAAGAATCAAAAATGAACAAAAGACACGAAAAAAGATTAGAAGATTGATAATGACCAGGAAGAACTAGAATGCTGACAGTTTTGGGTGCAGTTGACACTTCTCAGCTGTCCGCACCATGGAACTTTACTTTTCTTGAGTCAGCTGGAAAAGACGGTTAGTACACGACTGCAGAACCAAAGACATCCGCTTGAGGCCGGTCACACATGACCTACTTTGGAGTTTGAATTTTTAATTTGATTTTTGTGAATCTGACTAAGTACGGGTATCAGCTGCACCGGTATTCCAGAGCCAATAGGATGTTCATTATTTTTAGGCACAACCTTTTCAAAATCCTTGGTTCACGTTGGAGGGATAGCAGAGACAAGGCACTTTTGGTTAACCACGAAAAAAACATTATTACTGCAACACCCTCGTTCAGCAGGTAGCATAACTTCTCCGTCGGACCCCAATCATAGCGCAGCAACTTACACTGTAACGGTGACTGCCTTTTGTTTTGTCAGCTTACCCTTCTGATGTGGTAAGACGTCAAGGGAGCAAGCCTTTCACCAGCATACCTTAATAGGCAGTTGTGATATGTAAACCTTATCACTACTTCAAGGGCGGAGCTATCAGTCAGTTGTAGTGAAATAAGTTGTAAAATACGAATTATAAACTGGAATAAAACAGTGAATTATTTGTAGATAATCAGCAATCAAAATGTCTAAGATGATCTACTTCTTATGCTAATTATGAAACAGATTAGGCTTGTAAATACTTTGTTTAAACAGATATTAGCAATCTCATTCATTAAGTAGTTGATACTATGCTCATTGACAAAAACTTGTTTTCGTTTCCTGCCAGAGTTGACAGAAGTTTCACTTAGACTAAAAAATTTCAAAAACCAGATTTTTGAATCCATAAATAGTTTTGAAACAGAATCGAAAGTACTCAGTCACTTTATTTTTTGCAGCTAGGCCAAATTGTATTCACAGATGACTTTTGAAAGCGAATGCACTATACAAAAATGCACTCAGCTCTAAGAAAAGAAATAAATATGCATTCACACACTGATGAAGCTCTATGCATCAGTTAGTATTTTGTTTATTGACAAACTTGTAACCAGAAAGGGAATATAATCCAAGGGTTAGCACCTTGACTTCCACAATAGTCTTCGCGTCTCTTCTTACAGCACATAAATCACCCATCTCTTTTGATGTCTTTTTTTACTGTGACTTATTAAATAATCGGCACCTAGTTACACTATCAACACTGAGTTTAGTTTTACTTGTTACGTGGCTTATATGGTTTTATTGAGTCAATTTATGTCACATCAGTCAGAAGAGTATCAAACTGTAAAGTATTGTGAGGAAACATACGCTTCTGTTGGCTGCTTCTAAGAACGCTAGAATATCCTTTTGTGTATTACAGTCTCTGTTAGTCAATGTCATTTTCAAACCGAATAATTTTGTTATTTATACTTTTTTTAATGTTTTAGTCGCCTACTTAAAGGTAAGAGGGTCACTGATTTTACACACTTGTCCAAAAATAAAGTCTAATTTGAATAAAGTTGTTGATAAAACTTGAATGTTAATGAAGACTGAACAGTACTATTTCACGCAGTTTAGATTAAAAATAAACAATACCTGCGTGGGATTTGGAAATTTCAGGTTTATTCAGTCAATGTAGAATTGACAACAAAGACTACTGGTAGTTTTCAGCAAAGAGATCGGCTGACAAGTTTCTAAATCTGGGCGGCAATAGTTATATAACAGATTTAGTTCTCTTTCTACTTGCTTCTGACTAGTTTGCAGCTGAAACCTGTTAAAAGAAATGGTTTCCTTCCTGAAACAGGCAACTGTTGATTGTGAATACGCCTTAAAATTTGCATTCAAAAATAGGAAAAGTTTCAGACAATTATATTTTCTGCATGCTGAAATTAATGTTCCAAAGGAGTAAACCCTTCCAAAAAGATATACCTGCCTAAACAAATCAAAGAACATCAAGCTTTATTCGAAAGCAGTTCTGTGCATCAGCACTGAAATTAATGTTAGGCATTGGTTTTTAGATCTTGAGGTGCAAATTTTTGCACCTAAACATTTGGTTGTGTATAAATATACAAATTCACAGACCTTCATGTGATATGGGACACAGTCCGTTGGGCTTGAGATATGTAAAAAGCATTTAAGAAGACTATTCGAGATGGTTGTAAGATATTTATCGTAGGTCTATACAAAGTAGCATAACTGAACTTATTGACAAAAGCAGCCAATTATTTTCCAAGTAAAACTCCTTTTCAAGTGAGGAGGAACTTTCAAATACTGAAACTTTCCCAATTATTTACAGTCCTGACGCCTTGGATAAATACGAAGAATATGCTTAACTAGCACCCTCTTCTATCATGTTTTGAAGTCAGGACATTCCATGAACTTAATGCATAGTTTTCGCACACACGCTTTAATGCTTCTTCTGACTTAATGTGGTGGTTCTAATGTTATGTCATTCCTTCTCTTCTGTGATTCAAAAATAACCACCTGTATGCAGTCTTTGTTCAGCACCGAACACATACAATGGAAATGATTCTGCACCTGTCCGAGATACATGGAAAATTCTGCTACCCTTGTCATCACATAAAGAGAAAAAAATTAGGATTATGTTAAGTCTCTCTCGAAGTTATGGAGTTACCTGATATGAATATAGACAATAAATTGTGTTCGAAACATTATCCAGTAAATGCTACTGTTTCACTGTGTGATATTTCTAATAAACAGACCAAAATGGAATCCTAATCGACCACAGTGCCCAAGTTTTACTCATATTAGTTTTTGTGGTTCTTCTGTTTTTCCTCACTCTGCATAACGGTTCCCAATATTTCATGACCAGAACGGAATTTAGCGTGCGAACGCTTGGATTTGCTTTCCAACATACCTAACAAACTAATATAGCTATCAAATACAGTGTAGATGTTCAAACGAAAGTTGAATGCATTGGTAGCTGTACAGCTGTTAAATGCGGTCCCTGTAAAGGGTCTGTTTTCTGCTCCACTTGTTATTCTCCATTTATGCCTCAATACGTGATGTAAATTTGATTGTGACGTAGTGAACCATGGCATTTTATTTCATCGTATAAAACTCTGTACTGCAGCTAGAGTAAACTTAGAGTGGGCATAAATTCAGTGTTACAGTTAACTGGGAACTTGGGAAATTAGAGTCTGTATTTGCATAAATTTGCAAAAACGGGTGGAGGTTTAAAACAATTCACTTGTATCAACTGATAATATCGCAGGTTAGATTTAACTAGCCCTGATCATGTTGAAAAGTCTCGTCAGGCAGTAAAAACCACTCTTCATGTACTGGAATTCGATAGTTTAACACTTTACTTACCCGAATATGGTAGCAATTTTATCTATGTACACCGTTTAAAATGTATGGTAGTATACGTTAGTCACACACTAGATGGAAAATAAGCTGGAAATTCATAGGATAAAATTCTAAATTAATTGACCGGGATAAGTTAACAGTAAGACTCACCAAGCTGTCATTTCTTGGATTACATTGAGGTGTTATCCGCTTGCGCTTAAGTGCCTGTATATGCAAATGATATAATCTGTTTAGTATGCGTTAGACAATCATTGACTTACCTCAGATAACTATAGAGGACATAGATTTCAATTACTGATTTAGAAATTCAATCCGCATTTTATTATGAAATAGCTACGAAAAACACCTTAAAACAGATATTATGCAATTAATGTAGATAACACTGTCACCACTCATTGTCTGCTTGCGCTACATCATTTTATCATTTTGATGATCTTTCCATAAATAAAAGAAGCAATGGAAACTTGGTATTTATAAATTTTCCTCGAGTAAAACGAGTTAACATTAAAGCGATAAAAAAGTGGTTTAAAATGCATCGAGTTATGGTGAGAATCTTAGCTAACTAATTACTAATCTGTTTTCCTTTACAAGAACTCCTTCGGCAATAAGCCATGACTTTTAAAAAGGTTGGTAGTTTTGTTTTGTTTACTGTAACCATAACTACTCACACTGACTGATAGCTGAGATGAAATATCATTTTGGACAGCTTATGATTTTTCACCAATCCACTTTTTCAAGTCACCTTGAGAATTGATAACTGAAATCGAAGGGTAATATTTATGACTGCCTAATATTCAACACCTTCAGTGGATATTTTTCATGAGAAATTGAGAAGTGAGGAACTGAATAATTTGTCAGTGACACGTTGGTTGTAAGCATTCATAAAACTGGAAGAGACTGTGGTCGAATGGACGACAGTTTCCTTAGCTGCTGTTAACAATTTATACTTTTATTCATCTAGTAGCAAAAAATATCATGATTACTTGTTATCATTTCAGGTGAAGTGGATAAAATTATGCAAAATTTGAACTGTGATTACGGTTGGCTAGTACAGTATTATCACATGATTTGCGTTTTGATGTTGATAAATCTACAAACTAACAAATAGTCAGCATTGTGTTGGTAGTTGATGTATTATTAATTCGCTTTCTTATTTACCCGTCGATGACCTGAGGTAGTTGTCTCCTCAGAATCCAACTACTAAGGTAGGATGTTACTGCATCATTTTAAGTGATGAGATTTGAAGGGGACAAAGTACGATATAATAAGAGATGCAAGACACAGTAATAGGAAACATTTATTTGTAAGGGATGTTTGATCTCTTTAAATGGATAACTGAAGGGTGAAAAAGAGATTATGTTTTGTAGATAAAAGTATCAAAGAAAACTCATAGAAAATGAATTCAGAATTGCTGAACATCTCATATACATAGCAGCAGGCTTAACGAATGCACTCACACTTCTCATCAACTGATTGCTGTGCCACGCAAAGATATCTTCAGCAATATATTATGACTGTTATTTAGTAAGTTATGGATACTTAACAGGATGAACATGCGTGTTTAATGGCTTGGCTTGACATGAAACCTTAATTTATTCACACTGAAGCTTATTTTAGCATAAATATAAATTATGTGAGGAACTAAATGTAGTCTTGTAATTTATAGTGAAAATAGTGCCGATTCGCTTGAACTTTTAAATAGCTTCAGTGAACATCTATTCAGGTGAAAGAAATTATTCATCATCGCAAGGGAAATAGCAAGTAAATTTTGCACGTGACCAGTTAAAGTATACACATGAGACAAGCATTGTCGCTGACAATGAAGTCACAGCATTAAATTTAATAGGAATTAACTTGAATAACACTGTGATGTAGGTAAATGTTATTTTAGTAATCAAAGAGAAAATAGTCACATTCACTGAAAATCCAGTCTACAGAAATAATTTAAACTGTCTAGGACTTTGTCAGTTCATATTGGCATTTCTGAATACTGAATCGCTCTGCAACTTAACAATTCCTATATCAAAATACCTGAACGAAGAAGGTGGAGTACTGATTTTTAATATATTTTGTGAGGATAGGAGGAACGGTTAATCAGTATGAGATGTTTCTTATCAGTTTAATTTTGAAACAAAGATTATAATGAAGGAAACAATTTAACATCAAATCTAACCACTTGTGAGATACATAGACAAACAAAATATCAGTGTACACTGTTTCTTTGCATATAAATTGAAAACAATTCCTCTGTAGTTCATCAAACACTCAAGTCTAAATTTATTGAAGCGCTGTGGACTGAATGCTTAGAGACATGATTTTGAGAGTAGTAAATATAGCATCACTGTTCGTCAGCAATGCTAGGTGAATTGTTTTTACAGCTGCGGTGAAATTCATTTATGTAAATCTCTGATATACATACTCCCGTGTAGCAGTCAATGATTCTATTGCATATTTTGCTGAGAAGGTTATTATTCTTATGCTCAAAGAATGATGACAGTTTCTACAATATAGTTTCTTTAGAACTCAATCTTTGCGCTGATAATCAGTGTCTGTATAGTCAAAGTCTTGACTGGTGAAATACCGTCACCATTATTTGAACCTTCCGGATAGGGCCAGGTTTCATTGACTGCTGAATGTTATTCGGTATTATTGTACAGTAAATTTATAATCATGATTAAACTAATAATATAGAATTATTTTTATCATTTTAGTTCTAAAAGTCGGTGAAGATACCTTCTAAATGTTCTTGGAAGCTACAAACATTACGTTTTATTGTACTTTGCTGCTATAAAAATTAAAAATATACGCTTTTGCTCAAAACGACTGGAAATTCTTACTTTGAAATATCAGTTACCGACCTTGGCTTGAGAGAGACGACCAAAGTTAGTGTTGTGCAATTTTACTACTCTACAGTTACCAATACCAGCATTTGAATTGTAAAGCAGGTGAATATATTGAGCTCATATCGTTAGGTCACACAATTACCCCATAATCAAGTGCATTCGGGCCAATTTTCAACAATGATTTATAAGATGAAAATACTTTTGAAATAAGATAAAAGTAAGTGTCTTTCTTACTTATGATCCAGTAAACCTTTGTATTGAGTCATCCAAACAGACAATCTGTTATTGTATGACTTGGGAAAGCCCGATAAATAGATTGACGAGATCCTTCTACTTTACTTAGGATTGTCGCGTACAGCGTTTCTGGATTGTCTACATGTGGTACAGTTTTGAGCGAAAACTTCATTAGAAAATTTCAATATTTCATGCATGCATAATGAACGAACTTCCGGGTTTTAGGTGATGGTCTGTCCATTTGTGTCGCTTTTCTTATTCATTTCAATGTAAAAATGATTCCATGGGGATCAACTAACACTTGAATTTCGATAGACACACTGACTACCGTTCCGCGATCAATTCTTTTCTTTTGTTCAGGCATATATCCCGCTGTAAATTTTTACCTTTTGCTAAGTGATGTTCAAAAGTCATTACTGTTGTAGTTTTATCTGTTAGAAGAAACTGGAAACAGTATTTATCACGGTCCGGTGGTTATTATTCAAATATTTCTCCAACTTTTTTCTGAATTACGTAGTCAAAAATCCTAAGGTTTCATGGCTAATTTGGGCAATATCATTATCAGTGCAAACTTGAAAATAACTGTAGAATGTCAGCATAAATGGCAAACCTATATTTAGATTTACAAATAGCATAACAAATCAGGTTTAACTGCCAAATCACTATAATAGGTTAGACAATGAAGAGGATGCGCGCTTCGACGTGTGAAGTACATCCCATAAAATGTGATTCATTTTATAACTAGTAGGTGACTTTTTCTTTTTGCCTATTTATCTTTTTTTGAGTAGACAGTCTATACTAAGTTTTCAGCATTTTGGTGCTCGCTTACAGGTTTAGTACGACTACCCACTTCTCGAGTTTGAGAAGCTATTTTCTGGTGGTGAGTAGACTGGATAACGAAGATCTTATGATAAAGAGACGAAAATAACCATTTTTCTGGAGAACAGTGAAAGACGTTTTGCTTCAATTCTGCCTTAAGTGATAGATAACCCATATGCGTTGCTCTTCTAAACATTGTCTGCAGTTCTGAACAATTTGACTATTACTGTCATACTAAGCTGCTTAACCTGTTTGAATTGAATTTCTGCATACCTAAGTCTTCAGTTTCCCTGTACTTGCTCTCTTGATCAAGATATTCAGAATCAAATAGTGTGACCTAACTCATCTTTTATAGTGAATTTTATATCGTCAAAAGTTCTTTCAGTCAAGTCAAGTGTATATTTTGTAGCTCAGTTCACTTGTCTGAGACGGATGTATCATATACATAGCGCAACAATACTTTTCGTTTTATTACAGATAGGGCTGTAGCTTTTAGCATTTCCTTTACAACTTAGGTAGTTAACCTAGATATGAACAAATCCATGGGGATTCCTTTCGCTTAATGCTTTCTTTTACTGTCTAACTTAAAGCATACTATGAAACAGATGAGCTCAGTTTAACAAAGGCACAGTATTTTCATGTGTTCAAAAAGACATTCATAACCTGTGAGTAATCGGGATAGATTGTCATTCATCAGTTTTACTTCAGTTAAGGCATGAAAAGTTGTAGCATCAAAAAGACAGTTTTAAAATGATGCCAATTAAGTGTTTCTGTCTTTCAATAAAACAGAATTAGAAACGTAATAGAACAGTCACAAGATTCTGTGAGACAGTTTCCTAATGAGTTCGTTCAGCAAAAGGTATCCTAGAATACATGAAACTGGTGTCAGTAGCCTTAGAGGAATATCGACTTTTTAACTTTCCTTTACAAGATTAAAAGTGAATACATATACCAGACCTTTTAATTTTAAGTTACGGTGTGTGGTCAACACCACCTTGATAGGTTTGATGACAGTATTGCCTATTGTATATACTGCTACCTTATAGTAGGCTTTCCATCTTTTTGAAGCAGTCGTTTATTTTTAAAGAAAGCTGTACCGCATCTTTTATCAGCCGCTAGAGCAACAATGTTTCCATGGTTACATCTTCCACCCTAAAATTGAGCTATACAGCATTAAGTAAGGACGTTATGAAGATATTAAAGAAAAAAGGTGTAGTATCAATAACTTAATGGTCCAAAAGAGAGGTAGTCATTAGATAAAGAAACGAAAGGACGTTTAGGTTACATTTGAAACGAGGGCGAACTATGGCGATTACGACACAACAGCCAACCCTTCTATGATGCATCTGATGACTAATGGCTTCTTTCATATAACCGATCATGCAGTATTTTTCGTACGCGTTTAGACCGTTTGAATATTGATCCCCACCGAAAAAATGGCTTAATTTGATTTCTTCCTTTCCTTCTTAAATTGTGTATCCAATCAAAATATTTTCTGAAAGTCAACAAATTAAACGCTCATAAGAAAGCAACTATTATAACAAAACCGTCCGGTAGCTTTTTTGGTGTAGTAGAGTTTAAAAGTTATTAGCTTTTCAATTTCTTAAGAATTGTTTCCACATTTTCAAAGTTAGCGCCAAACATTTCATGATACATGACAAAAGCTTTAAGTGAGATAGTGAAACCGTACTTTTAGGTTTAAATTTTTTCCCAACTAACTGTTCTACTTCCAGTAAGAACAACATTCCTACTAAAATTCAGACTGTTAGCGTTCAGCTTAGCAGATGTAGAATCCAGTTAATCACCTAGGAAGTGCATTATATGAGCGTTGAAGTAAACAGGTAAGTATAGCACACTGTAAAGTGACTAAGTTCTGAGTGCAGTATGACATAAATTTACTCATTTAAATCATTCTGGGACATTATCTTGTTTCTGTGAATTCTGATAAGTAAACAAAGCTGATAAACGAATCTTTTGATAATCTGTCACTGGATTCATGCACTAACAAGAATGAATATTAAAATATTTTTCTTTTCTTTTAAAAAATGGCTGTTAAAAAGGGCTAGAAAGACGTCTGATTTAACAATGTTTCAACGTACAGTGTAATCTAAATGTTTGCTCCTAACCTTGGCCAAGAATAGTATTATTAGTCCATCGTTAACCGGTGTATCAAAAAATCATTTCTTCTACATAAACTCCGGAGTTACTGATCACGTAAGATAACGATATAGGCAGGCATATATTCAGTTGATTCTCACCTTTTCCCAGAGCAATAAATCTTGCCTTCCCATTTTTGTCTCCTGTATCATTCAATAGTGTGTGAACAGTAATTCAGTGATCAGAGTTCATTGACGTGTGTCGAAGTGTTGTGAATGCATAAAAATAGTTCCTAATCCATAAACCCACTAATTAAAAGTTCCACAGTCAAGTTTTATTCCGCCACTTCGATTTTATCAACAAAGTTTCGTTTTACATACAAAACGTGTTGTCCACAGATATTATGTTCATTTTAATCCAAGTGAGAAAACATCGTCTGACATGCATCACATAATGAGGAAATTCATTTAACCACTTGAACTAAGTAGTTCTACAAGCTATCCCCATGCGCATATCACTCGCTTCCCTTTTCACTCGACCTTGAGGAACAAAGCTGAATGCGGTTTTTTATATTTAATCGTGTTCAAGTAGGTGTTGTAGGTAATAGGGTTCAATGTTGGTAATGTGATACAAGAAATTATTTTTTTGCCTAAGAGGCTATCCACTACTCTTCAAAGGCAACTGGCTGCTGTATTTTCTTTTCAGATCTCGGTAAAAGGAAATTGACATTTGCGTCGGAAGTGCTAGTCACTACTTATTAAGTAAGCTGATGATGGCTCTAAACAAGTAATACTCTACCTTTTAATGACGTATCCTGGGTTGAGCAACATTACAATGCATCGTAAAATTTTAATTTCGTGGTGTACAGTGGTCGATACTGAATTTTGTCTGCAAAAAATGAGGTATTTCAGATACTAGTGCTGTCGGAATCGTTCTTCAGTTGGAAAGGGGCAAAGGATACAATTAATGAGCTGCAGAAATATTTAACGATTATGCCTTATGGTAAATGCATGTTACTCATACTCACTATGCTCAAGTGAAAAGCAAACAATCAGCCGACAGTCGCTGTAGTCACAACGTGTAACTAAACACGCTATTTCGGTGCTTAAATGTACTTTCGGAGTAAACCTCAAACACCAAAGTATGAAATTGACTAGTGAACTGTAATTCCACCTGTTTGTGAGAATATGCCTCGATTAAAATTTCAAAGCCTCCCATCAGTCTTTTGATTTGTGTTGAACGTGAACAAGCAGACTGTTCGATTCCGTAGAATGGTGTATGGTCATCCATGTTTGCAGTCGTTTTTGGTACGCGTTGGTTGCAGCAGGCGACTGTTACGGAGTTAGATAATATCCTCTTGATTCCTCTAAGAGGTCAAAGATTTGCAAAAAACCACTTGATCATACGTATGAGCTTCAGATTGCCTGAAGTGATTCCTGGGAAAGTGTTGAACATATCAAGGCTATTGAAGACATATCAACCGACACTTTTGTATAGGTTCGGCCTAACAATAAACATTTTATCAATTATCCGCTTCATTCTGCCTTCAAAAAACTGAGTAACACTTATGAGTGAAGCATAAGATTATTTTTCTTGAGTGCATTCATATAAAGATATATATATATATATATACATATATATATATATATATATATATATATATATATGTATATATAACGGGGATTATGATACGGATTCCTTCTTATCAAATTCAGTTATTGATGGAGAATCAAGAGCGAAAGATTGAACACAAAACTCTGAGAATCATAGAGGCGATTTCTGGAATGCTGTAAGCATATGATCAGCATCAAAATTCGAGCAAC